ATCATAAAATTTCTAGATTATCGGGAAAAGACTTCTGTATTAACGAATGCATTTAAGCTAAAGGGAACTACGATGTCCATTTCTGAGGACTTCTCTAGCAGGGTACGGGAAGTACGAAGAAATTTGTGGAAGAGCGCGGCTGAAGAAAAGAGAAATGGCGCAAAGGTTAAGCTAATATACGACAAACTGAGCATTGATGACACCCTGTATGGTTGGAATGAAACCGAAAAATCGCGCTTTAAACTTCAAAAGAAGAAGGGAGACTGACGTCGTGATCCTGTATCTGAACCATTAAGAATCCTAAATGTAAATTGCCGAAGTGTGGTAAACAAAGCAACTGAATTAGAATTATTGCTTCTTACTCATGATCCAGACTTAATAACACTTACAGAAACATGGTTGCATAGTACAATATTTGATAGTGAAATAATTCCACCTGGTTATAGTGTGCTAAGAAAAGATCGCGAGAGTAAGGGAGGAGGCGTTGCAGTTGTATTTAAGAAACGTCTCAAAGTAATTAGGATGCCAGATATTCCTCAAGTGGAAGGCTTATTTTGCAAAATGTACCACAATAATATTCAATATATTGTAGCTTCCATATACAGACCCCCGACCTCGTCCATTGAAGTCATCAATGAATTAAAAAAATATCTCTGCACTCATGCAAAGTCAGGAGCTCGAATAATTTTATCAGGAGATTTCAACCTACCAGATATAGATTGGACCTCTCTTTCAACTACTAAGCATAACGATATCATAGGAGAAGCAATGCTCGACGTTGCTTTTACTTTTGATTTGTTACAAGTTGTTCACGATTTCACTAGGGTGCAGGGAAGTTCGAAGTCAGTACTAGATCTCTTTTTTGTTAGTGGATGTATTAAGTCTTCAGCCACCTGTGAAGTGGTTCCTGGTATTTCTGACCACAGTGCTGTACTATTGACCCTGGCAAATGGGTTTATGGCACGGAAGCAAAAAACGTCATGTTTTCGAAATTTTTTGCGAGCTGACGATACATCAATTATAGATCTCCTCTCCCTCAACTTCGACTCGTTTTTAAACAGTACTGCTGATGTGCAAGGCCACTGGGACTCATTTAAAGATTTGGTGAATGAATGTATTGATCGCTTCGTTCCATGTGTTGTTAAAAAGAAGAAAGAAAGGAACCCCTGGATTTCTCGGGACACGTTGCATCTCAAAAGGAAGCTAAAACGATTAAAAAAGCGTCGTGGTCTTGGGAATATCGCTGGTATAAACGAAGAGATTTCAGAAATTGCAACTAAACTAAAACACCAAATCCATATTGACAAACAGCTGTATTATGGTGAATCATTACCAAACTTCATTAAAACGTGTCCTGAGAGATTTTGGCGGAGCATTAAGCCTACATCTACTGTATGTAATGTTTTTGTAGTTGATGGAGTTGATGTGCATGATAGCAAGGTTACTTCGAATGCCTTTAATGAACAATTTAAATCGGTTTTCACCATTGACAATAATGTTCTTCCCTCATTCGATGCAGATTATCCACCTATACCTGACGTTGTTATCAGTGAGCACGGCATTCTAAATATGCTACTTAAACTCAATGTTAAAAAGACACCCGGACCGGATAGCATTCCAAACGCATTTTTAAAGCGTTATGCCGAGTGGATCGCCAAATATCTGTATGTTTTATTTTCAAAATCGCTACACGAAGGTCGAGTACCAGATGATTGGAGGGCCGCCAGAGTCAAGCCTCTTTATAAGTCGGGTAAAAAGCAACTTATCTCAAATTATCGTCCTATTTCATTAACGTCAACTACTTGTAAGCTTATAGAACACATAATAATACGCACATCTCTGAGTTTCTTAGTAAGCATAATATCTTAACAAAACACCAGCACGGATTCAGAAAAGGCTATTCAACCTGTACGCAACTTGTCGAGACAATTCACGATTTCGCAACTTCAATTAACAATGGGACACAAACTGACGCCATTTTTATGGACTTTTCAAAAGCGTTTGACAAAGTCTCACACAAGAAATTACTTTTTAAATTAGAGAAAACACTTAAAAATCCGCGCCTAATAAAATGGATAGCAGACTACCTCATAAACCGTAAACAATTTGTTGTTTTTAACGAATGCTGTTCAGAAGAGGCAACCGTTGACTCTGGCGTCCTACAGGGTACGGTTCTTGGACCCCTTTTGTTTTTAATCTTTATCAATGATATTGCGAATGAAGTTCCTGTAAAAATCAAGTTGTATGCAGATGACTGTGTCATATATTCAGAAATATCCAATGTAACCGATCAAATCATTCTGAATAGTGCCTTTTATAACATTGTGAAGTGGTGTGATTTATGGCAGATGTCAATTAACTTCGATAAAACAGTATTTATGCGAATAACTCACAAGAAAAAACCCTTACTATTTAACTATTCCACCGCAAGTTTCACCCTTTCTGAGGTAACTAACATTAAGTATCTTGGCATTTGGATTACCAATGACCTTAGCTGGACTAAACATATTGACTCCGTAATTACAAACGCTAACCGAAAACTATTCTTCCTTCGAAGAGCTCTAAAACATTCTAATTCCACGGTGCGTACTCTAGCGTACAGGACTATCATTCGCCCAGTGTTAGAATATGGAGTGATTGTTTGGGACCCCTTCACTAAAGCTAACATAACTAAATTGGAAAACGTGCAGAAGAAGGCAGTCCGCTTTATCTTTAATAGCTTTGGACGCACCTCTATAACTGAACTCCTACATCGTGCCAATGAGCCTTCAGTTACCGAAAGAAATCGTTTAATACGACTACAATTTCTTTACCAAATAATTAAAGGGTATTATAAGCTTGATGTTTCCAATATCATTTCCTTTTCTTCTGGGTACGCCACCCACCAAAGGCATCAACTTACAATAACCCCTTTCCGGTCCCGAAATAACTGCTTCAAATATTCCTTTTTTCTTCGTACAGTAACTCAGTGGAATGGATTAACTAATAACCAAGTGATGGAGCCGTCCTTAAAGTTGTTTGCAGCAAATTTGACCTGATTGTTCACATCATGCTGTTCTATTTTTTGTTTGTTTGGTTTATGCAATCTTGAGTGCCAACATTGTGAAAATTATATCTGTAACCACCCTGCTAAAATCTCTGTAATAGAGATTGCAGTATGAATAAATAAAATAAATAAATAAATTTATTGCATGCAGAGGAACATTGTTAAATTTTTTGCAATTAGATGGTTTTTTGATAGATGGTGTCCCCACATCAGCGTTAGTCGACATGGAGCAACTGTTTCCGTCATGAGCAGCAATTTTAAGACTCTTCTTGGCAAGAAAGTGATGTTCTTTTGGGGAAGCCAGACAACATTTCGTGCAGTAAAGAACTGTTGCGTCCAGTGGGAGTTTGTACTGCAACTGTTACTTTCGGCGCTAAATTATTTAAGACAGATTTTGGAGTTCTGAATTCTACTCATGACGTTATCCTGGGGATAGACTTTCTTAAAGAATGTGAAGCCACTGTGAATTGCGCAGCTGGTGAAGTTTTACTGTCTGGTTTTTGTGAAGAGCCCACGCGATGCCAATAGACTATCGCAGTCGTTGATGACATAGTTTTGCCGGTCCAGTCGATAGTTCAAGTTCCTGTTGATGTTTTTGGTATCACAGCAGATAACGTTAACATTATAATTCACCCAATCCAGCTGAGCTGTGCGAAGAAGGATGTCGTTTCACTGCATCACATGATTTTTGTAAGTAGTGGCAAAGCCTTGGTATGGGTGGTCAACTCCTCTTTCGAGCAAATTGTACTGCCTGGTGGAATAAGGCTGGCTGTGTTTCAATTCAACGTCAGGAGCAACGTTAACATTGCAGTCATGCTGGATTATAGTCTGTGTAGACCACCTCACCCGGTATGCTTAAACCGCAGCGATCTCTGCCGCAACAGCCGATCACGTTTGTGACATCCTGCTACGCTACATCACCCTCAGGCATGGGCCCCCTCGTGCCATGAGCGACCGTGGCCGGCAGTTTGTAGCCGACGTCGTGGAAGAGTTGATTCGCCAGTCTGCTTCCCAGTTTCGTCACACCACTTCATACCATCCACAGACGAACGGTTTGACTGGGCGTGTCAACAGGACGCTCAATAACATGCTGACTTTGCACGTTGATGCCAAGCATAAAAACTGGGGCAAACTTTACCACTTTTGACCTATGCCTACAACACTGTGCTACAAGAAACCACCGGCTTTAGCACATTTTAATTTCTCTACATCCGTGAGCCACGTAATACCCCTCGACACAATTCTCCCGTTTTCAAAGCAAGAAAAACCATTCCTTGTAGAGACACTCTGTCGCACAGAGGAGACACTGCGCATAGCGCGTTTCCGGACTTTCGCAGCCCAAGATTGTTCAAAGGCTCGCCACAATAAGCGACATCGACATGTGGCGTACAGCGAAGGAAAGATGGTGTGGCTGTGGACTCCATGCTGCAAGCGTGGCTTTTATCAAAAGTTTCTGGCCTGCTATACAGGTCCCTTCGTTGTTTTGCCGCACCTTAGCGATGTTACGTATGTGATATCACACCTCACATCTTCTGGTCATCACTCCAGGAAAACTGACGTCCTACATGTCGCCCGATTGAAGCTATACCACGTGTGACACAGACTAACTCACCCAGTGGGCATCATCTACAACCGGGGAAATGATACGGGACTTTCGTTGAAATGGGGTAGAGGAAAAAGAAGTGACTGTGTTCGGTGCCAGGCCTGACTTCTGCAACCATCCATCTCTCACCCGTAACAACACATCCCTTGCTACATTCACCATATATTTTGGATTGTTTGTACACGTTATTGAAAAGTTTGATCAATCGTTTTTTTTTTTCTGCATTCAGAGCACTCCATAAAATACTTACATGCTCCCAATAAAGTAAAGCAAATTAAAAAAGAGTTGCACACAAATTTTCACATCGAGTCCTCTGTTCACGCTCAAAATTTAGATGAGTAAGCAGCATACCATCCAGGACAAGTTGGCCAATAGCCCGCGAGCCGCCATGCGCATTTTCCTCGAACTGGATGTCCGAGACGATGATGCTGTTTTCGAGCACCGAACCACAGCCCGTGCAGACGGCATCGCCACGGCTTGGATCGATGTCGATCTCGCTGCAGCCGCAGTTGGCACATGACTTGGCTGACGACATGGTTGGCTGGCACTGCGCTGCTCAGCTGCAATGGAACAAGAAACACCAACTTGAGAACATTCATTTGGGCAGTGTTGGAGTATGGGTCAGCATTCCACTGCAAACTCACAAACAGTGCAGATGAAAACAACAGCAATTGTCCTTCTTGTTATTCTGCCCTTTCATGCTTGTCTTGCGCTTTATACAAGCTTTCAATAGATACGGGTGCATGGCAGTTATCGCTGAATAGGTTGCCTTTTGCGTGGGTTGCCTACTATCTGGTTAACATTGTCTTTATTTTTTTTTCTGTGAACATGTACAATTCAGGCAAATGTGAGTATTTCGTCTATGTGTTTCTGCCAGTAAACAATAATCTGCTACAAGCAAGTTGTGCTTCCATTTGCAAAGTGCTCACTACATTCAAATTGACAGTACGTGTACTAATGCACGCTGATACACACACATCATTTGCTGGCTGAGAAGTAGCGGGTCTGTGGTGATAACACAAGGGAAGCACGCAAGATACACGTTTGTCAGTGTGTAAGATATCCCAAATATGCCTTTTTTTGTGTTACACTCATAAAGAAAAAGGAGTGCACAAAAAGGGCCATATTTTTTTCTTGGTCCCACAACAATAACTGTCACCCACCTTGCTCGTGTCTCCTTTCATGAAAACTATGCCCTCACCACTTTCCTATCAACAAAGCTATGCGACCCTGATAATGCACATGCCAATCAATGCAGCGAAATGCCGGGAAATACCTTTCCATGTTGAGGCACGCACCCATGAGTTAATGGTCAAGCGGTTTTCAGTCTTACTTTTCACCTCTTTCAAGGGTGTGTAGCATTGCAAATTTTGGCATATGAGATCATGAGCGCACAGTGCATGTATTCCTCTTGCCTGCTCAAAACTTTCAAACTTGGTGAAGGGCCCTTTGAGGTGTTAACATACAAGAGAAATTGAACCCGTGTGGTTAGGCCAAGTTAATACGAGGCGAAAAGACCTATCCGGCCTATTAGCACTCTAGCTGTTTTCTCCCGTGTTGCCCTTCTCAGCATTACCGAAAAAAAAAGAGACCCAGGTGCGTGTTTATTTGACGGTGAACACTTAGCTCACCTTGCTGGACTAGAAAAGGAGAGACTGTACTCTGCAAACCCTACTAAAAAAAAAATTTGCATGGCTATGCAAACCATTGGTGTTTTTGTACCATGATAAACTAAATTATTTCTGTTTGCTTTCCTTTCGCGTACACAGATCCCACAATGTATTTTTTCAGAAATTTGAATTTTGTCGAAGTTTACTATGCCTAAATTTACGATTTCGAGGGCCTAGAACAGTGTTTTGCCCACCTACGTTTGGACGCCTACAACTCGGTTCTTTAGTGCCTATAAATCTGGCTTCTCATCACAACCTCAAGCACTCTTTTTATGTGTGGCTTACCTTCAGTGCGAGCACGCGCGGGGGTCCATGCCCGCCTCCAGCAGCAACCGCAACACCTATGCAACTAATGATGCTCACCAGCCAATGGCTGTAAAATTTCGGTATGGCACAGTCACTTGAATTATGGCAACGTTCGTAGATAGAAGAGGAAACGATTTCTAGCCGACATTAAGAAGTAATTCTAAATACTAGCCCCCATGCTGCGCTATGATGTTTGGCTCATGTGTTCCATGGAGCCTTCTGACCATGCTGAAAGGGGTCTTCTGACAATGCTGAAAAAGTGTTGCAGGGCCCCTTTAATACCAGCATTAGAGGTGTGCTCGTGTTTCGGGTAGCCCAAAAGCCCGAGCACGGCACGGGCCTGAGTGGGCCGATGTCTATTCATCTCGAGCCACGGCTAGACTGCATTGTTTTCAGTCAGGCGGGTTGTGCCGGATACAAAGCCGGAATTAAGCCCAAAATATGGACGTTGTGCGAGAACTGTTTTCACTGTGTAGTGCCTTCTTCGCAACCGCCCCGTCTCTCTTTCTCGGTCCTCCTTTCCTTGAGCTGCTTTAAACGCAAAAGCAGAAGGTGAAGTCAAAGAAGGAGGCATTTGTGATTATTTATACATAGAATAATCCCATCTCCTATATCTGAGGTAGTAAACATCTTGAAAAATGAACTCTCTCAATATTCCAAGCAAGCCATTCTTCCAAAAAAGATATTACCCGTGCCGAAATGAAAAAGCATGTCGCCACAGTGCACATACACGCTGCAAACATAATATGTGTATTTCTTCTTCAATACAAGCCACAGTATGTAACTAAATATTCATATAATATACAGTAAAACCTGCATATAACGAATTATTCTGTACATGAAACAGTTGTATACCCTTGCATACATTTTCAGTATATGTATAGAATATTTTGTGATCACCTTCAGATTCGATATATCTGGATTAAAATGTAGCATGAATAAAGTTCACAAAACACTTTATATATATATATATATACATATATATATATATATGAGATCTAACAGACAATTATGCCAAGGAATGTATAGGGGAAGTTATTAAAACCAATGAAAAGTAAATAAGAAGAAAGAAAAGTGGGTGAAAAAATAACTGGCCGCGAGCAGGAGGTTCAATTCCTGCTCACGGATGGACACACACACAATCACACACGCACACGCACACACACACACACATATATATATATATATATATATATATATATAAGGGAAAGAAGTGTATATCTAAGGGCTCGTTTTAAAAATAAAAAATAATAAAATAACCATTATTTTTTCATCCACTTTTCTTTCTTCTTATTTACATTCCATTGGTTCTAATAACTTCCCCTGTACATTACTTGGCATTACTGTCTGTTAGATCTCATATATATATATATATATATATATATATATATATATATATATATATATATATATATATATATATATATATATATATATTGGGAGTAATAATTCGATGGGCCAGTTAGTCTTCGGGAGCGTTGTCAACAAGGATAAATATATTTCCCAACAGTTTCGAGAGGGGTCCTCCCTTCACACACACACACACACACACACACACACACACACACACACAACACACATATATATATATATATATATATATATATATATATATATATATATATATATATATATATATATATAGTGGGAGTAATAATTCAATGGGCCAGTTAGTCTTCGTGAAGGTATGGGATATGGCACAACGGGAGCGTTGTCAACAAGGATAAATATATTTATTTCCCAACAGTTTCGGGAGGGGACCTCCCTTCATCAGGGGATGAGTTATATATACACTGTGACACACCCTAACGACACTGAGCTTAAGCTCTATGAAATCTAGCTTAAATCACAGTTCTGCGTTAACAATTCATCAAAGTATACGCGCAAGCAGTCAAGCGAAGGCTTTCTTCTCAAACTGTTAAAAAAAAAACGAAAGGTCGCAAGCGGGCAACACTGAGAAGGTGAAACATGAAACGACTGCGGCGCTTCTCTACACGTGATCTCGAGTGCGGTGAATGAAAAGTACGGCCGCACTGGAAACGACCAGGGCATGGAAGTTTTGCCGGGGGTTCTCGACCAGCCCGCATCTATCGGCCTGCTGACTAACTCAAAACACGGCGATCATCGGCACAAAGGCACGCAAGCGCGAACAATATGTTGCATCAGCGAAGAAACTTCGACGCGGAATAAGAGAATCCGGCTTGACGGACTACGTCAAAAAAGTAGTCGTTGCGTTTCTCTCTTTCAGTCGCTTCGTGTAGGGAGGAAGTTGCGATATCAACTACTGCACAAGAGACGAGACAGAGGAAAAGCCTACGCTCTTGTTCAACTGCGAGACTTGACGCACGAAACCCGGAGGGGAATCGCACGAGCAGGACACGATGTGACCGCCGCAAGGTGTACCCACGTGGAACTTTTCATGAGAAGTGAAAAAAAAAAAAAAATGTTGTACCGTGGTGTGTGTGTGATTTGCGGCATCTTGAACGTGTAATTTGTGCCCGATACGAGAACGTGTTTTGCTACCTGAACGGAAGACGAATGCGTGTTTGAGAGGTGCCCTCGTTTGAAAGTGCTGCGAGCGACTATGTCCCAGATACGACCGAAATGCCAAAAAGTGATGCGGCCACGATTTGCTAATAGAGCTTGTTATCTATAACTACTCCGAGCGCTGCGTGTATGTTAAAGAAAAAAAATGAAAAAAAAAATCGACAACGAGTTGTGCGAATCGAACCTGGGACATGCCGCACGCCAGCAGCATTTCGATGCAAGAGGCATGCGCCTCAACAAGCACGGCCACTAACGCAACATTGAGCTTATGGTACTCAAGGATATGCCTATGCTATGAATCGAATCTCGAGCTGATACAATAGCAAGCTTACCAGTTCGGCAGTGGGGCCTGCTGGAGAATACGACTTCTTAGGTGGACTGGGCCTAAGTCAGATCAGCGAGGCACAGGCGGCGGGCCTCTAGTAAAGCCTCAGTTTTTCTCTTCTTTTCACGTCTTCACCACCGGCAATGTGATGCGCCTAGCGCGTGACAGGGTGTATTAATTACGTTTTCAGCGGGGTCGACAGGATCGGCAAACTGCGATAAAAGCCCGTATTCCTGTGTGTGTACGCGACCACGTAAGCTATCGCCATTCGAAGCCATGTGAGAGGACGGCAGCCGCCTTCCTTCCAACTTGCTTCCAACCCACAAATCATGCGAGGCCGCTAGAGATCGAATAGAGAGATTAGTGTACTCCGACTTTGCTGCCTCAAAGCACGTACAAAATGCCTAGTGTCTTGCTGCGCCATCTAGCTGAGATGATTCGCAACGCGTAGCGCGCCATTTTGACTCGCAAAGATGCGTGCGTGCTTGCTGCTTTTCAAACAGCATGTAGTTGTTATGAACGCAGGGCATTGTTGATTCCAAATAAGTTTCGCTAAAAATAAAACAAAGTGAACCGCCTCCTTCGTTTATCCTCGCTGCTTCTCGAGAGACTCCGCAAACGCAGTCATGCGTACGTGACGTCAAAGAAAGTACGCCCAATGAAACGCTGCGTTTCAAACGTCACCGCAAAAAAACACCAATAGTGGGGCACGTTACGTCTCCCCGGCCAATGGCGTCTGGCGGCACCTTTGTCGTTGACAAGGCGTCGGTTGAGTCGAGCCTTTTGAACAGGGTAAGTCCACGCTTCATTGTTTATAGTGTAATTTTTTGCTACATTACTAACCGCGTTGTTAGTCCAGATCGTCGCTAACGCAAGCCGCGAATCGCCGATCCCCGTAACAAGTGCATTCAACGTTACCATTCGCGTGCAATCGGCGATCGGCTTAGCGTGGGCTGTGTGCGCGCGTTCCACGCGCGTCGAGGGGGCTTTTGGACAGATCGGCACCGGCAGTAGGTAAGTCGAGCTGCACGAAATTTGTTGGCTAAACGCGATGTACGGCAACGTCTGCGCAACAGCAACTCGGTGTACGCGATATCGACACGACTCTACGTTGCTTCGGTGTGCTAGAGTGCGCGGTATCGTGCGGTGTCCCGTACTAGCGCGTTTGGAGCGACCATGCCCAAACTACTAACTGCTGGGCCGTTTCTTGAATTCGCTGCCTCAGCTGCTGTTCGTAGTTTTTTACGAACGCAATTACGATGCATTTGCAACGTGCATAAACGATGTTTCGGTCGGTTTGCGACGCACATGCAACTCTCGAGGTCAAGTTCACTGACCGAGCGTCTCTCTCTTTTATTGCTAGCGGCGTCGGGCAACTTACCGGGGCTACATCATCGGTTACGCTTTTCACTCGGCGCAATTTAGCCCTGCGTGTGGTTGTGGCGGTGGGATGGCCTGACAGTCGTGCATATGCGGTCGTATAGAGAGAAGGAAATGATCCGTGTTGGCGCCAATTTGTTCCGTTGCATGCACGACTGTTGGCATTCGTAGCGGCGGCGTCGTTGCATCGCTAGGCCTAATTGGAGCTTCGGCCAATCCGGTGTAGATGGCGGTAACGGCGTCCCCGGGTTCGGGCCGTTGCGCTGTGGGCGTAGCCTTTTCCGTTGTGTACCGTTCAGTTGGGTTTCTGAAGTAAAACGCTCGCTAACGGCGTGTTCACTAGTCCTTGAGCGTCGTAAACGGACCTCTCGTATAGATCGTCACCGCGTAAAATACGCCGTTTTTGAAATAAAAAAAAAAACTGCTCGCCATAGTGTGCACCCGTTGCTTCGTAGCGCGCTTTTGAAAAGCGGTGTTAGTGCGGTAACGGCACCTCCACTGACGCGGTGCTGTTGATGGTGGAGGAGAGTTTGAAAGAGCATAAAAAGCACTCTCACTCAAGCAGTATTTAAAAAAAAAAACCTCTACAAGCTCCACTGTATGAATGAAAGGAATGGAGTTTAAGGGCATGTTATGTTGTTTTTGCTACAAACAATGTCTCCTTTACTTTTCTCGTCTTGATTGTTAGTTGGTCGTTCTGATTACAATGCAGTATGCAGCACAATACACCTTTATTGTGATTCGGATGCTCAGTAAAAAAAAAAACCTTGCAGTACAAGTGCTCGTTATTTTGTTTAGTGGCTAAAAAGGCACAGAACCAGTCTACGTAGCAGCATGTTTGCAGTAATATAGAGGTGTTCCGGTTACTTATACGGAATAACTGTAGGCAAACGACGATACCAAGTGTCACTGTGTTCTAAACTTATACCCTTTGGAGGGTATCTTGTTTGCAAATAATACCTATCGTCAGTCACGCTTGCCTCTCCTTTCCCGAAAACTGTGCGGTCGCTGCTTTTCCTCGAAGGCTGCTGTCTCCCGCTCACGGCACATCTGCTGTATGTGACCTGGAATTTCCATGTGTTCAGGTTATTGAAAGCAAGATCAGGCTTGGTAGATGACTGCCTTTGTTACAAATCTACATATGCCTCTCAGTCATGGTGCTTTCGAATACTTTTGTATGTTCCAACTCAAGAAGTAAAAGCAAGTTCTGTGTAGCCTTAAGTGTGAAGGTGATTCTTGGCTAACCAGAAGAAGCACTTGCGTAAACCTTTCTAATGTGAAGAACAAGTTGAAAACAAAGTCTCGTAACTTGTGTTCTACTAGTGTTGATGAGTTTCTGTGCACCAGAGCTATTATTTTTCTCTTTTTTTTTTTTCCTTTCGCATCAGAGGGCTATCAACATAAGTCAGTGCATCTCAATCTGTAACAAACATTTTGTTAATTTCTGTTACACACCACATCAGAATGCATGCATATTCCTTCGTAATTCATAGAATTTTCGTAATTATGAAGGCAAGGTATTACGGTCGTCTCTGCTGCTGGTGGGGTCATTTTGTACCCGTGCGGTGGGAAGAGTGATGTTCATGTGTAGCTATGAAGACTGTGTATATGCATGCATACACTTAAAATAGTGTGATACCCCAGCTCACATTTACCACAATATTAATGTCATTTTGAACCAATGAAAATATGCGTTTGACTGGATTTTTGGAATGCCGCAGGCCAAGCAACTCGCGGAACATGTTGGCGCGTCGGCAAAGTCATCACTTGCCGCAATACATAGCTGGTCAAGTTGAGACTAATGGTTACTCAGGAGGTTGAACTGATCCCAAGCTTAAAGTATTTTGCTCCCTGGCCACTGGTCAACAGAACAAGCCGAAGCAAAATGCGGCTGCATATGTACACACAATGCCTGTAGGAGATGCATTAGCATAGTCACCGCACACAAAGCATTGGTCTTCAATACAATCCCCAGATTAAGTCATTGTCATTTATTGAGGGAAGAAAATTTTACAAGAGTGTGCACAAGCATCGGGGGGGGGTGGGCAATCTTCAATCAAGGTTTACATAAGTGTTCGTTACCACTGGCCAGCCTCTTGTGCAACGTCACAATCCGCCTTTTCCATTAAGCTGTGCTGCCCTTGGCCATTTTGGTTGGGACCGGGATAACTGGTATGGCCAGAACAAGGTTCCCCAAGATGAAGGGGCGTTTTGTGAATTTTTTTAAAAGCTGTGCTGGCGACAGGGCCAGAAAATTTACCTCATATTTAGTGTAAGGGGTCCTCCTTAATGTGGCTCTAGGTTTCTAGCCCGTGGCTACTTGGGATTCGTTCAATACATGCAACGAAAAAATGCAAATGGGGCATAGCAGTGAAACAGTGAATCTGGTATACTAGATTACAGTAGAAAAGGTAGTAAAGCTAAGCATTACCTCAAGGTGTGGAATTGTCTTTTTTTTTTTTAAGTAACCTGAATGCACCAAATTGTACTTAACATCTACTGAAAAACTTCAATTATAACAACTGGAACATGCAATCGCTCGGGATAATTACGCCATGTCATTGTGAATACGGCCACCACTTTTATGAATGTAAGTGTACGAGCCAGCATCATACCAACTAAAAATGTTGGAAACAAAAGGTGGTGAAAACATTGGTTATGTTGAGTGACGGCCTTCTTTATCTATTTACTGAGATGCAAAAACATGAACCACCATAACAAGGACTTCTGTGTCCTTCTATGTGGTAACGCGTCTCCCCTGTTTTTAAATTTTTTTATTCCAGTGTGTGCGTTACCTAGCCCTAAATTGATGTTTTTCATTCTGTGAGAACCACTGCACATCGAGTCGTGCACCGTCTCCATCAACTTGACTGACACTCCTTGTCTTCTGTTGTCGCAGGCGTAGCAAGCAAGGATGGCTCCTCCGAGAAAGAGCAACGTTGAGGTAGGTTCCCACGTGGTCGTTAAGGATCATCCGCTGCCTGCGCGGGTGATTCATATCCAGGGCAACCGGTGCCAAATCCAATTCGTCGACGACTCGTTCGCCGTCGTGCACCTGTCGTCCGTCACGAAGGTAAAACTGCGCGTGATGGCTGTGTGGTGGTTGCGAAGTGGAAGAGGAAGAAATATAGTGCTGCTTTGCCATGCCTCGTTTACTACGTTTGCATGTCGAGTCAGCCTTTTTGTCGTCATCGTCCGCAGCGTTTCATCTTCACACAATGTCCCTCGAAAAGGGTTTTGCGCCGCTATTGTGCGGCTACTGTGGCAAAAACTTGCGCATTTGTCTAACTTTTAGGCGCATTCCCAAATATTCCGATATATAAGCAAACGGTGTTATTTGGCACAGTCTTCTAAACAAACAGTTGCCGTTTGTAAGGACAAATATCTTTTTGGACGCTTTGAGAGTATTTTTTTTTTTGAGAGTCAGCTGGAACACACAAATAAATCCTGAAACAGAAACTGCAATAATACATTGTCGTTTCATGAAGGTAATGCAAGTAAGTGTTTATAACCTCTGAGAAATCTTCAAGTTGCCTGGGGAAAATATAGGTTTTATTGTCTTTAAGAAAATTCTTGATGTCATAGTGGGTCATCTCACCAGAAATTCACTTTACAGCAAGATATACCTCCGGTGAAGGTGGGAATGCATTCAATGGAATAAGATAGTAGAGAGCTATGTGTAGATATTGTACTCAGAAAGGTTCATTAGGTGACTTGTCGCACCAGAAGAAGAGGCAACCATAAGTCGTGGTTAATGCGAGAGTCATTGCTGGATATTCTTCGAGCCCAGTCCATTGCGAGCCTACTCCGTTAGTTTCAGAGGAGAAACATTGGAGTGAATCGGGCACTTAGTGATCACCGAATTTTAAATATTGTTTTAGACCACAGGAGGAAGGCCAAGTAATGAAGTTGGGACTATTTAGCACGAAAGTCTTCTCACTTCACGGGGTCAGCCACCACTACTGGCTTAACAGGCTGCTGAAGTCTGTAGAAAATGAGGCGGGCCCCGTTCACAGCTCTTTGAATGCACCTGTTGAGTAACGTTCGTCCTCTTTCTCCTTCAAATATTCTCGTGCAGTCGAGTTCGACATTGGAGTCTACCAGCGCACCCACGGCCACGGTACATTTCTTCTCATTATCTAACAAATGCATTTTAACGTCCCCACATAGAATCTACATATCGCTGCTCGTACTTCTTCTACTTTCTTGCGCAGTCAAGCTCACCGTGGACGTCGAGGAACTTCACTGTAAGTGACGGCACTAGTTTCTTTTGTTGCAGTGCTACGCTGAATAAGCAAATTTTGTTCTGTAGTTCCCTAAACTATCTCAAAAACTTGGCTATATGCATTTCGGATAGCTAGGACAGATCAGCCTGAAAGTTCGCAGCAGCGGAGAAACAGCGCCACGGCTCTAGTTGTCTAACGTTGTCATCAGCACTAGACTCTGGGGTCTCGAATTTGCGAGAGCCGGGCTCTTGGAGTGAAAGGACACAGTTGACACGGTCAGTACAAACCAAACAATACACATACATTTATTTAACTAATTACAACGACGATATCGTCCGCCGAATCGTTGCATAAATCGTAATTAACATGCTAAGTCATCCTTACACACAATTTCCATACACTACAAAACATGACAAAGACACAATAACACACCCAAGGCGGCGGCGCCAACGCTTGACTTACCACGAAGGTCCCCCCCAGCGCACAGGCCCGCGGTGCCACGCGCCGAGGACCCACGCTAGAGACAACCGTTCGCGGCAGCCGCCACGCGCAGAAGGGACTGGCTCAACTCTCGCCCGCCACCAAGGCTTGCTTTCCGCCAGGGGTCACTACCGGCACTACCACTGTCACAACCATGATGATGATGGCAGTGGTAATCAATGCCACCTACCACCCGGTAGTTGTAACCCGAAATGCGGCTTTTGGGCGAGGCACGTGCGCCACACGGCGCAAACAACTTTACAGGGGTGTCAGCACCCCCCACAAGACCCATTGCAAAATCTTAAAATGACCTCTTCAACTGACACCGGTGCTCTTGGCAGAAGTCACTGTGGCGCACAAAAGTTGTGGTGATCAGCACTACGCAACCGACTAAAACCAAGAGAGAATATTCTGGTTCTCCTCTTGATTTCTTAAAGGGCCTTTAAACAACCCTGTGGTCCGAAATGTGTGATGAAGCTGTAACTGCGCGCTTGTATGGTTTCAACATGCTTCCGCAAAAATTTTCCGAAAAAGGGTGTTACCACTACTTACTGGTCGAACATTGTACGTCTCAAGTTGGCCGTGATCAGTCAAGAGCTGAGGTCAAATGCTCTCAGAAAACTAACCCATCAAGCGAAGAAGGAGACGCTGTGTGAGGCAGTTGTCTTTGGCTGGTTTTACTGTCTCGCTCGGCCTCCCCCCTTCTGGGCAGTCAAAAGGGGTAGGCGTAGTTCACTGTCGTCACTATGCCCACTTTGGCAACTCGACGAGATGTCGGTGATTACGTCATCGGTATGCAGCCGATGCCCGAGCTAGGTTGCCTCCACGCGACACTCGTGCTAAAACAGGGTGGTGAGAAAGCATGGTAAAGGCATGGCAGTACCTCTGCAGTGTAGGGTACCCATTGACAAAGTCAGTGGAAGTTGATTTTGTCTCTGGCAAGATTGTCATTTCGGGTGCAAGGATTGGACAGACGCTGCTGGAAGGTGCAGAAATTTTGTTTTAAGAATGGGGGCTGCTCATAAAAACCACACCATATCCACGGAGTGAGTGATGATGAGTGGGGCGAAGCATCCGTTAGCCCGTCCGCGCGACCATTCATGCCTCTGTTCGTATGTCCCTCTGCTAGTCCGTCAGGGCACCCATCTAATGAACACTCCAAGTACTGCCATCTCTCATCCCCTGTGGCACTTGCCCACTCTAGAGCGGGAATGTGCCACCGATGGCTACCTACTACTACTACATACATGGGAGGATGTACAGACCTGCGCCTTAAGGAGCTTCGGCCCTAAAATAAGAACAATGCGGCATTCTGCATGAATTGACGAACTTGTTTAGAAGATTTAAAAAAAAAAAAACATGGCAGCCCTAGTACTGTGAAATCCAGCTTGTAGAGTTCCCACTGCTTCGTTTACCGAAGTGTTGACGCCGATATTTGATGTAAGCTTGTAGGGTTTTGTTAGCGAGGTTTGGAAACTTGGTGTGCGATTACTACCATTTGATACGCTTTATTGACTTCCTGATTGCTGCGGCAGTTGAGATACATGTCTGCAGCGAGTTCCATCAAGTTACTTTCCCTATCGCATGTACTTACACAGCGCTCGCGAAGCGCAGGGGGAGGGGCATTAGCCTGCTCGGCGAGGTGATGGCGTTCTTTCTTGCGCGCCGCCAATGTCGCACATGTGTTTCCAAAATGTATGTTTGTAGCAATTTTAGGTTAGTTGTTTGGATTTCTTCTTGTTCATTTCTACTAGTTGTACTATTTTAGACCTTGTTCATTCATTTTGACCCTGTCTTAGTATTGCTAGTCGTGTTACGGCCTGTATTAAGCACTGTACTGTGAGCGTAATCATGCCACACGAAATGTATTGATAGACAAGGTGAGCCCCTCAAGTGCTCCGCACTTGAAAAAGTCGAAGCCTGTTTACTGGCAGTTAGACTTTGATCTGGGCTCATTTGCTCATAGCAAGAGGAAGGCAAAGTGCAACTGGGTTCATTGTCTCAGTCGTGCTTTGCCTTCCCATTGTTTAGTGGCACTTTAAGCTGGGGCTGCAAGGCTCATCTTTCGCATACAAAACACCCAGCACGCAGTGAACGTCCACATAGCTGTTCTTGCAGCGATGTTCGTACGACGAAAAATGCAGTCTGCGCAAAGTTTGCCACGTTGACAGACAACATAAATTCGAATAGCATGAATTATGTGCATCTACAAACCTTCTCACGCAGGTCAAGCTCAACATCGGATTCGACCAGTGGAAGCGTTGCCAGGGTAAATTTTTTATCATTATATCATAAAACTCTCAAATGCGTTGTAACGTCTGCAGACCATGTCAGTCTGTCACTGCTCATACGTCTTCTAATTCTTCGCACAGCGGCGCTCAGCGTGGACTTCGAGCAGCTTATCTGTAAGTGACAGCTAATCCTGTGGTCCGTTTTGCTAGGCCTGCTTAGGAACTCTGTGGTTGCGATTTGAGATTCTGGGGACAGATCAGCCAAAATTATAATCAGTAAGAGGTTCCCAGCATAGCTTTAGTAGATGAGCATAATAAAAGCTCTAGCAAAGTTCCAAAATTTTATCAGGACCGCTTCAACGGACCCTGCACTGTTGGCAGAAATCACTGCAATGTACAGAAGTTGTGGCTACCCACACGCTACATGAACGGCTGCGACTAAGAGCGAAGCTCTGCGGCTCAACTCTGCGGCTCATCTTTCGTGGGTGGAAAACGCTATATGTCGCAAATGCCCAGGTCGCCATCATCACAACGACAGTTGGCGCCACGCTTGCCGAGTTGACAGACAATATGCATCCCAATAGCATGAATTGTATGCATACATATTACACTTTTCAAATTACTGAACGCTGCGATAAGAACGATTGTTGTGAAATCATTAAAATGGTGATTTATTAATGTGGACACTATCCATTGACAATGACAAGCGAAATGTGCCACAGATATTCTGCGTAATATCTGTGGAACCGTGTGCCTGCAGTGTTCCATCAGCTTTAGCAACCAACTGCAGTGAAATTTTGATTTGTCTAAATTCGGTATATACTGGCATAAGCAAGCCCTCAAATGTTTTAGGTACTTAATAGGTAATTCAAGGACATTTCAAATGTTATCGGTAGGTCTTAGAGCAGCTTACTTTGTCTTTTTTCATATTGATGAAACAGTATCGCATTCATCAAGGTGCTGCGCATGTGAGAATGTGAGGTGCGCATGACGTGCTATTTGAGAGAGGAGCATAACAGTTCTGCAAGACTCAGGCCATTTGCGATGTCATGCGGCACTACTGTTCTGAGTGTGAGCACCGCAGCTCACATCGACTTCTCTTTTTCTGCACAGTCCAGTTCATCGCCACGGTACAGCGCCCGTACCAGTTACACAGTGAGTGGGGACGGTAAACCAGTTTTTCTCATTTTGCCTGGACCGCCTAACGCTCTTGTTGCACCACGAAAGCGTGGTCATACTCAATCAACTCACAAACACTGCCCGCATAGATCTTCATCACCTCCCCATTTGCACGCGAACACTGAGGTGACAAATCGCTGCTTTTGCTTGCTACATCAGCATCTCGCAACGCTATAAGAGGTTCCCATTCAGCGAATCAGCAAGTTTCAGGCAAAAGAGCGGGAGGCCGGACCAGCCGGTTCTCGCGTTCGAAGTGCCGTTTTGTCTGACGCATGGTTAACAAAAAAATATTGCCACTGCAGGAAACCTTGTAGATGCATGAGTGTATACACGGCAGCAACATTTCTTGACAGCGCTGTGGAAGCTACAAAACTGAAGCGCACGACTATCATCTGCGCCAAGAGATAGCACTTAACATTATTGATGGTTTTCTCATTTGTCTTGCTGAGACAAATGCTGCTTTATTTATTATGAGGCTCAAAACAATTGGTGGGAAGTCATTGGCAAAATTCTTTTTCTTTGCATTTCTTAGCCAGCACTATCTTTTCAGCACTGGCCATTTTTAAAGAAACGTGGCATGCTGTGACGTCAGTGGGTCACTGTGCAGCTGCAGACAGGCTGCGTAGTTCTCCTAGAAAAGTGTACTCATAATATCACACTGAAATGAAATTTGTACAATCGAGAGGTTTCTGTCATTCCCATTCTTCGTGTATATATTTTTCTGGACACGCTAACCATGTCGGCGAGCAAACCTGAAAGCTGCTGCACTACTTGCGGAGCAACACGGATCTGTGGAAGTCCCACTCCCTAAGCCTTCGCTCTAATTTAAAAGATATCTTTGTCGCAGAGTATAGGTGTATAGTCTTCACGCTTGGCGGTGGTAAATCCTGCAAGTGAAATGTCGCACGCACACCATGCATCATTTTGTTGTGCTCCCAAGTGTGACTCTTGGTACTGACCTGGCATTCATAAACGTTGTACAGAGGAAACTGATGTCACCTGTATTCGTGAATCGTTCCACAATGCATAAAAAACACCTCGCCTTGAGAAGATGATACGACACGAGTGGCGACGCCACTTTGAAGTACCTCACCAACTTACCATGGTGTCATAGATGTGTGAGGAGACGTCTGCTAAAGAGGCCTGCCTTTTATCAGTAAGGACAAATGAAATTGTGTTCTGGGGGGAGCCATAGGCATAACGAGGCTCATTTCATTGAGCCATTGTGATCTAGTTGCAAAAAGGTGGGCTTTAATTTGTGATGTCTCACCAATATTTATGTGCTTGGTTGGCACAGTGGAAATTCATTAATGAAGCTTTAATAATGAGTATGATTGTGAATAATGACAATTGAAAGTTTGAAAAACAACTTATGATGTAGTGATTCACTTTAGTGTGTATTTAACAAGTTCACAGCCTAGCTGCATATTGCTACAGGGTTCATCTTTCATTCGTTCTTTCTCTCTTTTTTTTTTCCTTTACCCCATCCCCCCACGCAGACTGAGACTTCGGTAACGGTGCGCAGCCGTACCACCCGAAGCCGCTCAGCGTCCAAGTCGCCCAAGACGAAGCGTGTCACAAGCCGCAGTCGGAGCCGCAGCGCATCCCGGGCCGCTGTTACGTCCCCGAGAACGCCCCGGTCGCCGCAGAAGAAGGCTGCCACTCCCAAGTCGCCCAGCCCTGCCAAGAAGGCCAAAAGTCCGGCCAAGAAAAGCCCAGCGCCAAAGAGCCCTGCACGCCTGCCAAAGACTGCACGACCCAAGAGTCCGGGGCGACCCAAATCGCCCGCCCCCAAGAGCCCGGCGCGCAAATCACCGGCGGCCAAGAGTCCGGCTAGGAAGACTCCAGCCAAGACGAGAGCACCATCGAAGTCACCGGCGCGCACCACCACACAGCGGAAGAGGAGCGTCAGCCCCGCAAGAGAGAAAGGTGTGTACAGTTTATGTTGTGGGGGTCCGGCGCCTGGGACTTTGGCTGTGTACTGAAACCTCGTCTAACAGAAAAGCCAAGGTTGCTTTTTTTGTTGCCTGTTGCTTCAGTGTACACTCAGAACTCAATATAAAGAAGGCAGAGCTCACAAATTATTGGTTATTATAACAAATTAACTAAAAATTGTTGTTTCACAAATACAGTGTTAGTTACAATTCGCATTTATAACAAACTTTATTTTATATAACAATGTTACGTGCGTGTCTCACGGGATCTGGTTATTGTGAGGCTTATGTTTATGCTTAATAAGAGCTTCGCCGCGGTGGTCTAGTGGCTAAGGTACTCGGCTGCTGACCCCCATGTCCCGGGATCGAATCCTGGCTGCGGTGGCTGCATTTTTTTTTTTTTTTTTTGGAGGTGGAAATGTTGTAGGCCCGTGTGTTCAGATTTGGGTGCACATTAAAGAACCCCAGGTGGTCTAAATTTTTGGGGCCCTCCACTATGACCTCTCTCATAATTATATGGTGGTTTTGGGACGCTAAACCCCCTATATTAATCAATAATAAGTTGCAACTTATTAAATGTGAAGAAAACGCACAACATAAGGTTTTGGCCCTTGGTAATTCCATTAAGCCATGTGTGAAATGAAATGAAACGCAATATTTTCATTGAAGTGTAATGCGTGGGGTGTCCTCTGAAAAGAGGTATGCTGACCTCTTTTCAGGCACTTCTTTTTTTGTTCAGTAATTGAAGGACAAAGCACTTCACTCTTTATATCTTTGAACTATAAGAAATATTTGAATCCAGTGGGTGTTTCAAAGCTCGCGATACACAAGTGGCGATCGTTCAGCTATCACGGGAATGATGGCTAATACGTGAATTTGCTTAGTCTTCGTGCTTAGTCTTCGTCTTCAAACCAACTAGCCCAAATAGCCATCTTCTTCAGTGCATTTTTAGTCTTCGGCTTTGTTTTTTGCTGATCTCTGTCTGCTCTTTATTTTTATTTAATTTATTCTGGATAAAAGAATGGGGGTGCAAGTGGGGAGGTGAGACCGTCGAACTTTTGCTGCACTTCACCTTGTGACACAGCGGCTGCAAGCTACACATAGCCAATTCCCCCCCCCCCCCCCCCCTCAAAAAAAAAAGAGAGAGAGAGAAGCTTAGGCAAATCTATGTTCTGCTTATCATTGTCGTTCTGGCAGGACTGTTGTGTTTTGTGGCTCCCATAGACACTGACACCAGATTTTCTTTTAGTGTAGTAGACTACGAACTCCATGTTCATTGAACCTTGCAGGTGACGACTCCTTGCGGGTCGGCCCCTCGCGCATTCTGGTGTCCTCCTCATCTTCATCGTCGTCATTGGAAATCACCGGAGAAACCTGCCGGTGCTCAGCCGCGCAAGCCTCTCTACGCCCCTGGGCTCCTCGGCCTCGCAGCCCGTGGTGAGCCTCACCACCAACTCCATCACTCGTCGCGTAGTGAGCTCGCCCGTGGCAGGCATGTCACCCCATGCAGTGCGGTCTTCCCCTCGCATCGCCACCATGCATGCGACCTCGGTGAGTAGTGTCCGAACGAATTCCTCTCTAAACCATTTTGCAACGGGTTGAAACGTGGCAATTTTTTCGGGCTGTAGAATAGCTCATACTCCCGCCACGACAGTAAGCTGCAAGCGACCAGCATGTTGGAAATTTTAACAGCAACACGTTAAAGGGCCACTCACTAGGTTTGACAATTTTGAGCTGGCAAGCGCAATGCGTAGACGAGGCGTTCATGATCACGTCTACCAAAATTTGCAACGCTACGCACTGCGGAAATGGCTCAAATTTCAAGATGAACGCTGCTCCCCCTCCCCTCTGCCGGCGCACGCCTAGTGAAGGAGGGCATGACGTGGGCGCATGAATGGCCCTACGTACACGGCAATGCAGTGACGTTGGTCCTCTACGTAGACGACTCTGCTCTGGCGTTGTCAACAGTATACCACGTGACATGGCAACCATTATTTAACACAAAATGCGTAGTTTATGTATTTGTTGCTTTAAGGGGAGACTCTGGTGTTCTAAAAAAATTTTCTATTTATTATCATATTCAAATGAAATTTTCAGGCAATGTATCTTTTAACCTGTTGTGAAGATATATGCAATTCATTTGCTTTTATCTCAAGTAGTTTTAGAGATATTGAATAAATAATGAATAGTTAGATTGCCCAATTATTCTGCAATTTAATCATTAAATATCCTTGAACGCTTTATATGGACATAGTCTAGAATAATCAAGGATCACAACTATACTATCACTGTAATTTTAGCTCTATCTTTATAAAAGTTATTGCCATATGTAATATAATGGTTGGGAACAAGAGAATTTTCATGAGATTTATCAGCACATAAAAAATTTTCTCTTGACTAAATATAAATTTTAGTAGTCTGATTGTGTATAGGAACTCGTAAGCTGTCAATTGCAACAAGAATCGTTGAAATCTGATCACTAGATCAAAAGATCCTGTGGACACATAGGCAAAAAACTGATTTTGAGAAAACACAAAAAGAAGTTTGAACACTATATATAGGTTTAATTCTTGCCAAAAAAGCAACAGATGGGAGTCCTTTTTGCTCTAGAAGCCACCAGGCTCATAATCACCATCACTCTCCTTCACATGCCTCTTCTTCATGGCATTCTTGAAGTCTTCTGCTCTGGTATGCTTTTTGTCACATGCCGCTAGCCGCTGCTGGTCCTTTTCCAGACATCTTTCAACATCTGCGTTGCCTTCGTTCAAATGCATCTCCTTCAAAACGGCCTCAGAAGCACGTTTCTTTCCAGCATTGAATCGAGCAACCGCTTCCGCAACAGCAGTTTCGACTGTGAAGAGCGAGGCGTGCTTGGTTTTCGGTACAAGCGACCAGACCACTGAATGGAGGCTCTCATTCGAGTTTTGAGTTTTGCCTCTTTGGCAGCGCTCCAACAGCTTTCGATCTGAGAGGCTAGTGTACACTGGAAGGAGCGCTTCTGCAACATATTCCGGGAGGTTGTACCGATGCTTAGGAGGAGCCTGCTGCCTTGCCACTGCCTTGTTGTGGGCACACCATGAGTCTTCTCCCTTTGGGCACTGGGAATGTGGCTTTGCATAAGTAGAAGTCACATGATAGTAAGTGGCAAAGACAGCATTCATGTTTCCCTGGTGTGCCTTGAGTGCCCAACCATAATAATTTGTAAGCTTCGTTACAAGCTCAGCAGTGAGCTTTCCTTTGCCACCGAGGCTTGGCCGACCTTCCCCCTTGCTCTTCTGCAGGAGGTGTCTCAGTGCAGCACCCATCCTTTTATGTATATGATTTACGCAATTTTCCTTTTCGATAGCCACGAAGCCATACACTTGCTCCTCCTGAAGGCTGTTGAAAGCACGACTATCGCCATCGCACAACATCGTTGTGTAGCGGAATCGATGCTTTTCGAGGGACTGGCGAAACAGAATTTTGGCAGCCTCCACCTCCATCTGGCCAGGCTTGCTCGAAGAGTTTTCTTGGCACTTGTGCCGAGCTCGCCACTCACAGTATCGAGGGTCGTCGTCCTTGGGGCCAATCTCGCAACCCAAACAGAAGTTCGAGAGAACTTTGAAGTCCAACACATAGCCCGAAAACAGTTCTATTACAGTTCCCACACAAATGCGTGACAAGTGGCCACGAGTGAGCCAAGTCCAGTCGAAGGAAACTGCGATACAGTCAAACCTCTTTAATACGTACCCGCTTAATATGTAACTGCGGTTTATACGTAGTAGCGAGGAATCCCCCGCCCTATCTCCATTGAACCCCATGTATTGGCTGACCGCTTAAGCCGTAGTCGCTTGTGGTGTTATGTACGGTTAGTACGTACTATTTTCGTTCTCTTTATCCATGCACAGGCCGAAAATCGGCAAAATTTCGTGCGCACAGACGGTCGATACACTCCATGTGGCGATCGGACAACAACCACCAGCGATAGTGACGTCACAACATGGCCACGATGACGTATTTTTTGCGCGTACGTCTGTTGCCGATCCCATTGTGCAAGAGCATGGCCTTCAAGATCGGTTTTTGGTAACCTAGGAATTCTCGATTGCTGGTCCGGTAGGGGGTGCAAATTCGCTGTCGCTTTCAATCCAAGCCAAGTACGTATTCTCAACGGCTCCACAGCGTCGAGCCAGGCTGAGCTCGTTTCTTTATTCGGTCGTTAGTCCTCACTTTCCCGCAGTGTTGGTCGTGGCGGCGGTGTGGTGGTGTTGCGTTACTTACGTTCTTGTGCGGCGTGTTGTGTTTTTTTTTTTTTTGTTGTTTTTTTTATTCTTGTGTTGTGCGCGAGTGGTGCGATTAAATTCGCACACTAAAACTTCTTACTATGCCGAAGTACCACGTCTTGAGCGTAAAGGAAAAACTTGAAATCATTCGCACTATTGAAAATGGGGCCAAGAAATCTGCGGTAGCCCGCGATAAGAACTTGCCGCTGACTACTGTATGCGGAATTTGGAACGCTCGCGAAAAGTTGACGGGAGGCACAGACAGCGATTTGAAGAGGTGCCGCATGAGAGACTCAGCTTATCCCGAAGTGGAAAAGGCCCTGCTTCTCTGGCTGAAGAAGGCGCGGAGCATGAACCTGCCGGTTAGCGGACCCCTTCTGACCGAAAAAGCCCTAACTTTCGCAGATCAGCTGAACTGCCCCGGTTTTGCCTGCAGCAACGGCTGGTTGTCGCGGTTTAAAGCCCGCTACGGCATCGTGGGGAAGGTTGTTTGTGGTGAGGCTGCTGCAGCAGACAAAGAAGGCGCTGTTGAATGGCAGGACACCGTTTTGCAGGAAGCCTTGACAGCCTACGATGCCGCCGACATTTTTAATTTTGATGAGTCGGCACTTTTTTATTGCCTTCTTCCAAATAGTACATTGGCATTTAAAAATGAGACGTGCACCGGCGGGAAACACGCCAAAAATCGCATATCGGTCGCTTTTGGCGTAAATATGACCGGTAGTGAGAAGCTGCCACTGATGGTCATTGGCAAGTATGGAAACCCGCGGTGCTTCAAAGGCGCTCGGCTGCCATCCGGTGTTGTTTACAAGCACAACAAAAAAGCCTGGATGACAGCCCAGCTGTTCGAGGAGTACGTGCGCCAGCTGGACCGCCGTTTTGCTGCCAAGAAAAGGAGCATTTTGATAGTGCTTGACAATGCGTCGGCGCATGTCGATGTGGGTAACCTGTCGGCTATTAAGCTGTTGTTTTTGCCGCCCAACACGACAGCGCTCGCCCAGCCCCTCGATCAGGGCATCATCCGCTCTGTCAAACAGATTTACCGCAAAAATCTTTTGCGGCGGATGTTGATCGCCATGGAGAGTGCCAAAACGTACAGTATAGACCTCCTGGGTGCTATACACCTGCTTGCACACTCATGGATGCAGGTGCAGCCTGCAACGATACGGAACTGTTTCGCGCGAGCACAATTCAAGATGCCAGAAGAAGGCAACGACGAGAACATGGAGGATAACGAGGATGGTGAGGACACCGAAGACTGCGAGAGCCTCCTTGTTGAGGTGCTCGAGCGGCAAGGAGAGGGAGTCGACAAGTTCAACTTCGGCACTTTCCGAGATGTGGACGGAGACGTCCTTACATCCCCGGACTTTTCCGACAGCGACATTGTTGCCGCCATCGCACCTCGTCCCGATTCAAGCGAAAGTGAGGAGGAGGGCGATGTCGAAGTGGACGACGGCCCCTCGTTATCCGAAGCTGCGCGTGCTGTGACTGTGATGCGAGCCTTCGCCGAGAAGCGTGGCCTAATGGACCGGCTGGCTCGCGGCCTCACCGACTTCGAAGATGCCGTCGTCGAGGCAAGGCCACCACGGCGGCAAGTGAAGATCACAGATTTTTTTGCTGCCTGTCCATAAATAAAGCTGGCGTGCCGGCGTGTGTGCGCGCGCGTGTTTGTGAGGATTGTGGCCTTCTTTTCTGACCGGTAAGTAGCCGCTAAACTGGCACTGACGGTTAATTCGTACATCGCTTAATGCGTACCAAAACGTCATTCCCGGCCAACTACGGTCTAACGAGGTTTCACTGTATTGCCGGGGTTCCCGAAATTCAGTTCAGAATAGATGGCCTTCACAGCTGTTGCGCACTCGCTCATAATACCCGCGGATGCGTTCATCGCGGCAGGGTTCATCTTGGTTTTGACGTAGTCTTGGTACATTTTGTTGTGCATTCCACGACGAGACACATTCAGGGCCGAAAAAATGTCATTTAGCACGGTCTGCCCATTGCCCGTGCTCATAACTGCACAAGCCGCAAGCACATTTACTTCGAAAGGGTTGCAGGTCGCATTCCCCCCTGCTCTCGGCGAGCTCCATCCGGCGCTGACATCTCCGCAGACGGCACAGTTCACCACTATTCTAACTGCCAATCTGTACTCACGGTTGCCCCGTGAAATGTTCAATGGGCCAGAGCAGAATTTGCATTTCGCGCACCGAAGCAGTTGGTTCAGCAGCGGTAGGCTTAGCAGGGTGAACTCGGAGCCGGTCCCCGCCGCTTCCGGGGAATCTCCGATAAGCGATTGCTTTCGGCGGGTAGCTGATAATGAAGACAGCTTCTGTCGTTGCTCTTCCGCGCGATGTTCAATTGCCACTTTTTCCGCTTCTGTCACAAAATGCGTATCGACGCGCGTTGTCCTCGTGTCGTCGGCCACAGGCATCGCTTGCGCGGCTGCAGCTTCGGTGGATATCGTACACTTGCTGGCGCATGTCGCGAAGCTCGTCGCCGTCGATTCACTCGACGCTGCTTCAGGTATCCGAGACCGACGCTTGCGTTTTTTGCCGTAGGCATGAGCTGTCGCGAAGTTGCGTCGCCCGCCAGCCATCGCCACGTCCGAACAAATTGTGACAAGGAGTCGCGCATTGTTGCACACAGTCGGGCAGACGAAATTTTCGGTCGTCCAATCATAGAGCAGGATTTGCCCCACGTGGTATAAACGCGCCAATGCCGTGCGAGTATTCCCTCTTTTTCGGTGGCGTGTAGCTCCATAGTTGCCAGACTTAGAGTTGTTTTCTCACTAAAACCGGATTGCTAAAGAATTTAGCTTTCGAATGATTCCAAATTGGTTGTGCTGCGGCTAACGGTTACCGCAGACGACGGCATTGAAATTGCCCGTTTTTGGGGTGGCGTTTTCGAGCGAGAGTGATCATGAAGATCTCTTTAGAACGCAAAGACAAAATAAATACTAATCGGAACGTGTTAATATTCCAGGAATAGATTCTTTTGGACGTTGAGATTTCGAAAAAAAAAAATATTTTGAAAAATTGATTTTTTGGCAATTTTTGCTCTAAAAGACCCGTGTCTCCCCTTAAGAGATTAATAAAATTTGAAATAAGTAATGAGATGCAATAAAAAATTGTGCGCATTTTTCTTTAATTTTTTCTCATAAAATCATATGAGATGCGGGGCTAATGTGCCAGCGGTTCGCATGCGTTCGTGTCCCTGTGGTCAGCGCATTGAGCAGACGACCGCCGTGGAATGCTCCTACGCGTTCGCGCACTCATTGTGCCCATCTACTCTACCGCATCTAAGCCAGCGTTTCCAAACGATCCCGCAGAAACAGGCAAAAGATCGCAAAATAACGTTGGTCAACAAAGCAATGCCACTTGCGTGCTCGGAGGTTGGACTTATTTGGGCACGTCATGCACACGTCACCTCTTGGTCGAATGCCGGAAAGGGTGGTGAAGAGATTTGGCTTGTGAAGGCTACGCTGAGGAGCGGCAAGGGTTTCGATTCACCTCCTCTCATCCTCTTTTCGCGCTGCTTCAAAAAACCTGTTTTCTCCGCTCGTGATGAACCGATATGAAAAAATTTTTGTGGCGAAATGTTCCTCATCGGACACACAACAACTTTCACAGTCTAACTAAAATTCGGTGTGGGGCCTGGTGAGTGGCCCTTTAACAATGGCATTTTCAGAGCGAGAATTGCGACTGCGTGAAACAAAACCGCCGCTAATAGTGGTCGCAAACTGAATGGGAACTTTTGGCTTCCTCGTGACTTGACGATTTTCTTGACTTGAGTAGATGCGATGGAAGCAACAGTGCCTTCAACCAGTAGTGGGGCAAAACCCTACATTAGCGTCCCACCACCTCCAGAAGGCAACGCTTTTATTATTTTTTTTCCCTCTCTTCGTACACTCAAACCTCGATATAATGAATGATCGGTTATAATGAAGTCAGTGACCAATAGCTTTACCATAGATACAGTGTTACAAATAACTTTATGACAAACTTTTCGATACAGTTAAATATTTTGGTAGCAGATGTTACTTTGTTATAATGAGGTTTGAGCGTAGTAGCGTGTGAAATGGCCTTCACTCTCTCTTTTTGGCTGGCGTGCATAGATTACTAACAATTTTGTCTTGGCGCAAACTCCTGCACAGGTCTTATACTGGCAAGGTTCCCTTGTTACCTACAGCGTAAGTACGCAGCTATGCTCCGAATAAAGATGCTTGGAAGGTTGTGTAATTAATTAACTCATGTTTAACGATGCTCTTGCTACACAGATCCGCCTTGAGCGCCATTTTGATTCCAGCTCTCACCACTTGCTCTTTTTCTTTTGAATTTTTAATTACAGGACACCGATAGTGGCGTAAGTTGTTCAACGGTCCATTTTATTGCTTACTTTTTTAGTTTGCCTCACATTGGTAACAGCTTTGAAGCACAAGCAAGTGCAGCTCTGTACACCTATGCTCCCATACACCTGTACACCCACCCACTCTCGGTTTTATGTTTGAAGGATATTGTCAGTAACTGTGGCTAGCATTCCACCCAGAAAATAATAATGCAGTGATGGAAATGCTGCTCAAGGTGCTACAAACTGCTTCAAGTAAAAAGTGCTGCTCTATGCTGCTTTAAAAAGCCATTTTCGTTAGTAATTGCTCCAAACCTGCTCCGAAATGGCACTTAGAGAATGAGAATGATAATCTTTTACTGTTTAACCTGCTTATATACAGCTCATAAGTCATAAAGAAATTGAAAAAGAATGTGTACTGCTATCATCCCAATGTGTTACTGGTGTGCAGCATTATCACCTCTTATCTCAATTGGGTGACAAGAACTGGAATATTAAGCTCATTAGGCTGTTTTTTTTTTCTCTCGGGTAGGATTTGCAGGCTAGTATAGGGAAATGTGAAAATGAGCAGAATGGCTTTTATTTTATACCAATTATCTACTGCTTCATTGACAAGTTATGTGGACTCTGGTTACTTCTAAAATGTGGTGTTCAGGTTTTTCCAGTTTGGTATGATTTTCGCTGTAAATGCTACTATATAACTGATTTCATAGCACATTATAACAACCAGCCATCTTTTTGTTTTCTTCTTGAAATATACATTGATTGTTGTCTGTTAAATTACTTATTAATAAATAATAATATTTACAGATGCTTCGATGATGCTTTGAACTTAATTAATGTATGGCAAATTTTGTATCCACTCCTAAAACCAACAGCTGCTCCAAACCGACATTTGTTTTGCTCCGAAAACACTTATGGCTGCTCCAAAGCAGTACCTTCCCTGCTCCAAAGTATGTTCCAAAAAAAGTAAGAAGTCACTTCCATCACTGACGTCAATTGCTCTAGTTCTGTTATATGTCTGTTATATGTTTCATTGTGGATGTTTCTCGCAGTGATTTCTAGGGGCAAACGTGGTGTCACCAGTCTATATGGGTTTACGGGCAGGTGTTTGAGGCTGTTTGAGTTGCAGAACAAAATTTTTTTTTTCCATTCAAAGAACCTCTGTGTACAATTTTATTTGCTTCTACTAAAGTGTCTGTTACTGAATACGTCTGAAGTCGAGCTTCGTGTACGAAGCTTTTTTTTTTTTTTTCACCTTCCCAATTACATCTCAAGTGCGGTTGTTTTGTTTTCTTTTTGTACTTCTGTGGAAAAAATACACCAACTTGAACTTGTGCCGTTAGGAGATTTAGGGGGGATAAATTGAAGGGGCTGAGGCATGTTTCTTAGAGGCGTGCATTAGCCGGTGTCGAGTGAGACCAGGCTCTATGTACTGCGTGGATGCACAAGTGAGAGTTTTCCTAAAATAAAGCCTTCATAATTGGTTTTTTGTTATATAAGATTTGCCTGATGTAATGTAGCTGTAAACCCCCACACTGGAGGACTTTTGCCTTCAAGTAGTCTTAGATGCATAAGCGACCCCAGTAAGTCATTTAAGAGGGCCTTTAAAGAAAGGTTTTTCAGAAAGGCCTTCGATGAATCTGGTGCCTGAATACAAATTCTCCCGTTCGCAGCTGGAAGATGAGGAGGAGGGGCCGTCAACGTCTAAGCAGGGCCTGGTGAACATCGTGGAGCCAAGGCTCGCTTCCGGGTGCACATGCCGCAGTGGCGGCTGCCCTTCAGCCTGGGCATGACGCTGAGTTCCCTGTTCTGGTTCTTTCTGGTGCCGTCGTTGGCCTTCGTGCTCTACCTGCTGTGCCAGAAGGTGAGTTTGGCTACCACAGAGCACGATGTGTAATGCTCTCTAGGCAGAACTCTGGTTTCGCCTAATTGGTGCTTACTGTTTGACATCTTGACTGCACAAAAAAGACGAGGACAGAGGGACGTGCAACGACACGGGTGACATGTCATTGCACGGATTCCCCGTGGGTGACGGTGCAGTGGCCCTAAAATTATTAATTTCTTTCAAAGATTTCGCGTTCTAGTAAGTTTTCGGCACGTGCAGCCAGAGTTAACGTGGCATGATGGTATTGTTAGTTATTTCACCTTAGAATGCATGCAAAAGTTGATGGTGAAGCAGGGCTTTTCATGGTCATCTCTATAGCTGATATATTGCTGTAGTTGGTGTCGTCATAAGACGGTTTCGCCGTATGTGCATGCAAAATCGAAAGGGCAACCATTACAAGTCGATTGACCGTTGAGATTCGTAATGCATCCTTATCCGCTATATCAATTTACCGTTCTCGTTCTTCGGGGTGCCGAAGGGGAGCAGGCAGAGAGCTTAGACAGGCAACTGCTTCGTCGTGGCATTCAGATACTGGTCGGGTACAGCTAAAGCAGAAGAAAAGGGGCAATCGAAAAGCAAGCTGGAATCGGTGTCACGGAGGCTTCGCCGTGGGGTTTGTTCATTTCAGGAGAGCTGCACCATCATGAAGGCTCCCAGGGTGCCCAGGACGCTGGACGCATACTTTCACTGGAAGCTCTTCATCGGCTACCCAGCCTTCCTGCTTATTCAGGCCCTGCTGCAGGCTCTGCCTATCGGGCGCACGGTCCAGGGCTTTCCTTCCAAAGCTCTGAAGCATCGCATATCCTACGACTACCGCATCAACGGTGAGTGTAGTGTTCTCGACGACTTTGAGCATTCCGTGCAAGTCCAACTAAGCACAAATGTGCTTGCAGAAATTGATAAGTACAGGAAGAGAGATGTTCAGATTCCCTTCATCTGTTTAATGCAAAGGCTAAATACAAAGTGCCATGATTATAATGTTTGATTGTAATGCAAGGGTCGACTTTAGGTAGTGAGAATCTGAACATTAAACTCTCAATTTCTTCCTCCAGTGTGGTCGCTTCCTCCAACACTTCCTCTAATAGCGGTCGCTTATTTTCATGACGTTGCGACATCAAGCACTTCTTCAGTGTATCAGACTGAACTTTCCCACACATTTGTGTCTCTGGGTTTATGGTGGACAGCTGCATATTCTTATGCCTTACTTATTCGAATCTAGGCCGATAGTTTTGTTCAAATTTCTTTGTATCAAACTCTGGTGTCAGCTTAGATTCGAGGATTGTGAAAAATGCGGTCTGTGTGTGGTGTAGTTCAATAGCGCCAAACACGCGGTGTCATCATAGTGTCGCTTATAAAAGGAAAGTTTGAGCCACAGTGTCATCGTCCAACGTTCAGGCCGAGCGAGACTGTTGGAGTGGACGAAGAAGTGCATTGCTGGTGGGGCTGCAGCCTGAGACTACATCTCAGGAACTTCGACTGTGCGCTCTTTTTAAGAAGTGCGACGTATCCAATGCGCTTGATGACACCGAGGATTGCGCACTGTTTGAAGTCAGCGGCGAGGGAAGCAGCGGCGATGAGTCAGAATTAGCGTAGCATTGGCAAATGTGGCATCTTTTATACAGTCCATGACCGATTTTCCGGACGCCCGAAGTTTGGGACATGCCTGATTTCCGGGACTCATCCCTGACATTGACAAGTTCCCCATAAAGTCACTGTATTTAAAAAAAAGTCTGAACTTTCGGACGTTTATACCCTTTGCCATCGTATTTTTCGGACTTTTTACCGCTAGCCGTGGACTTGAAGTCAGCGCCAATGTCGTCGTTTTGGTTTTTTTGGCCTTCAACCCAACTCGGCACTGCAGGTGTGGCCCAGTTTGGCCAGCAGCATCGCACCTACTGCACTGTGACTGCCATACTCTCGAAACCGCAATTGCCGCTATCTAGTGCACGCCAATTCGTTGCCAGCCGTAGCCCAGTCAAAATACAGACCTCCTGCTTTAGTTCACGTGTTGTTCTTTCAGTTCTGCGGTAGATTGTGTGCTGCAGCACGTTATCTTCAGCGTTCATGTTTCCCGAGCGTCCGCATCCACCCGAGTTTTCAGCTGTTTGGCTCTGCTTTTTCGTAAGACGAATTTATCATTAACAGTGGTGGCACAAACTGCTCCTTTGTCATTGTGCGCATTTTCGAAGTGCACAAATCCCTTTCGCAGGCTTACAATGGAAAAGGAAGCCGCCATCACTCAGCATGTTTAGAGCGGCCGATCGTAGGCAGAGGTGGAGAGGGAGTTTGGAATCTCTGAGGAAACTGTTTAGAACTTCATGAAGAACAAGGCGAAAATCGTGGAACAGGCTGCCAAATCAACCGGGGCTGCAAAAAAGAATGGCGAGTCAGGGTGTTTACCTAAAGCTCAAGAAGTGCTTCTCGCGTGGCTCAATGCCATGATTACCTAGAAAATCCCGGTGTCAGGCGACATCCAGAAGCAGAAGGTGGAGGTTATTGCGCCTCGGATGAACGTGACAGGTTTCAAGTTCAGTGATGGATGACTTCGGAATTTTAAGAGCCGCAATGATTTGAAATTCAAAAAGATGTTTGGGGAAAGCTGCGCCGTCGACAATTTCGTAGTCGCTGAATATCGTAATGGAAGGCTGCAGTCCTTGCTTCAGAAGTTTTTGCCAGACAATATGATCAACTGCGGCAAAACCTATGGTGACCCCGCTACTCGCTGTAGCGGATGATCACCGCGGGTTCACGCGTAGCAAGCCACAGGGCCGCGACTCCGTCACCTAACTTGCGTGTAGCGCACCGTTTCGCACGCGCTCAACTAACAAGGCATTTAGCGCGGTGGGGCAAATAGACAGGGTACAGATGTACACCAACACTTTATTGCCTTTGGCGGCACCCCGAGCAATAGTACAACGCCCGCTCCCGGGACGCGGAGAGTAAAGGCTCCCGCACGCGGACGTTCACGAAAAGGGGCGACGTGCTCGCGAGCACGTCGCAGCAGGCAATGGCGAGCTTTGACACGCCGGTCACGAAAAGGTTTCCGCAGCTATGCTGCGCACTCTCACGATGGCCACTAGGCCTGGTCGCGAGTGTTAGGGCAAACCTTGTACGCGTAGGCCTGCGGCAAGTGCAGCTCGGTGGGGTACGACAACTTCAAGCACTAGGCACCGCTGTGGGCTTAGCGTACGGTACCGAAGCTCCGGTACCGAACACGCCTGCCGAGGTGCCAAAGGCCACCCTAGGCAGGCTACAGACCGGTGATTCCCAAACGGGACGCAGACGAAGGAAACGCGTGCTTACCTGGTGCTGACCACGAAGGAGAGAGAGCTCCCCCGACGCGCACGTAATACGTGACGCACCTGCACGTGGCGCCATCTATCGCCACACGCCGTTACTAGAGCAGGAAAAGTGAGAGGGTGCGGCGGAATGCCCGCGAAATGGTCACGGGTGCGCCTCAGATCCCCACATTCTCCTCTCCTTAATTCACCCTATAAACTAAACTGTTTTGCAAGCTGCCGCCAGAGAAAATACTTGCATTTGCTAGTGACCCCTGCCACAGCGGCAAGCATAGCAAAAAGCGGCTCGCTGTCCTCGTTGGCAGCAACATGTCAGGTAGCGAGAAGTTTCCGTTGCTTATGATAAAGAAGTCGAAGCATCCAAGATGCTTCAAAGGGGCAGTGACTCTGCCTGTTCTCTACGAATCCAACAAGAAGGCATGGGTGATGCAGCAGTTACATAAAGTGTAGGTGCACAAGCTGGACAGAAGGTTCGATAAGCAACATCAAAAAGTGCTGCTGTTTGTGGATAACTACGCCGCGCATGGCCTCATCAAGGACCCAGCGCCACCTATGCACGCCATGATAGAGTTTTGTGGCCGTCTTTTCTCACAATCGTTTAACCACAACAGTGGTATCTGCTCTGATCTCGAGGGGCTCCCAAAAGCGTACGCTACGGCGCACTCTGCCAACTTCACGACAACCTCGCACGGTGATTGCGACTACGCCATTGGCATTGTAGCAAGTAACCAACATTGCAGCAAGCTACCACCAAAGCATCAAAACAAGCCACCAATAACAAGCTTAACGACAAAATACGGTCGCTGCCTCGCTATACACATCACAAGTTACTGTAGAAAAGGTAGCCTACATCTTGCGTTTCTTGAAGTATGTGCAGATAACAAGCACGAAGAAAAAATTGCAACCGAAGTGACAATCGGAGAGTGCTACCATGTTGCGGAAATAGTCGTATCTTTTCTGGGCAACAAGCAATTTTTTTTTGATTTTCTAAAAGCCTGTGATGCTATGGCAGCAAAAGGTCTTTGCTATAGTCATGGCGACAGCAAACCTGTCGTATTTGCTCAGAAATTGCACGCATGTGGTTGGCCTCGGAAGTTTCGTATTTGCTGGAAGCGATCGTCAGTTGGGACGGGTAGCTTCGTGGCCTTCACTCACTGTGTGCTTATCAGCTGCAATGTCTCTAGACTCGCACCATTAGTGAACCCCGCTATGGCGCATAGTTTATTGAAAAGGACTGGGGACGTGCTGCGCACAAACAGGAAGCACATGGAGGGGGGGAGCAAACAGAGGTGACCTGAGGGGGGTCGGCATAAAAAATTGGCTCCGTATCTGCATGATAATCTGCAAATGTCGTCAACAGACGATAGTCTTGCATGTGGAGAGAGTGAACAAAACATTTATTGAATGTTCTGCGCCAGAAAATCGGTGAATGGTATTCTGGAGGCGCTGTGTTAGAGTGCCCCGAGCGTGCAGCGGAGGCGAACGAGCGCATCAAGTCATGTCACACATGAGACATGAGTACCATCTGGCAATTTACTTGGGAAACGTTGCGCGTTCGAGACAGGCGTGCGCCCCGTCTCAGAGGTGATAAGGTGTACAACGCAAGGCGACGGGTAGGTGCCACCACCATGTTGTCTTAGCAAAGCGTTGGAAACACTCGCCTTTTTGTGCAAGCGTTGCATGGTCAGCGCAGTGTGATAAACGCTACGGTTCTTAGAATTACTTGTGTATGCCTTTTGTAGTAAAAGACGCACATGCAGATGATATGCGTGTTGTTATGGTGCCTCAGATATGCGCAATAATTGCTTTTTAGTCGACAATCGCATAAGTATGAACGCTGAATTTTGAGCAACATTGGTGGGCACTGCAGATGGGGTCGGCCGTTTGGGGTATCGCTTGAGTACCCGGTACCGTTGAAGGGGGACACGGGTCTTGGAAAGCCAAAAATCACAAGAAAATCGGCTTTTTGAAGCTGGCATTTTCGAAATCTGTACCTATTTTTGCACCTATTTAAAAAAGTTTCTAGCTTCTCGCGTCATTATTTCTGGCGCAAAATCAATTTATTACATCCCTATGAGATGAATGTGAGTCCAAATTGACACTAAAATTGCGCTTTTTCTGCGCCGAACTGTTGTCGTTCAATACTCGTTCAATTTTCGATCAGCTTGCTGCGTTGCACTCCTTAGGCTTTCTAGCATTCATATATATGTCAATGGCTATGTAATTCTAAGTACATACATTTTTGCAGTTAAAAATGTTAGAATTCTTCGTTTTCTTCATTTTCTCAAAATCGCAATTTTGTACACCCTGCATGAAAATTACTGCAATGTATCGGAAACTATTACAGATAGCAGAATATTTCGATTTCTCTTGATGCAAGTTTTTAAAACTACCGTAATTACTCGAATCTAACGTGCACCTTTTTTCCAGTTAAGCGAGTTCATAAATCACATGCGCGTTAGAATCGAGTACGAACAAAAAAATTACGGTCAATCTATTGCCATCGCAAATCCAAAATGGCCGCCCCCTACGTGCGTCGGCATGGTGCGTCGGCTATTTCTGCCTATGTGTTTACCATGTGCGGCACTTCGTACGTGTGCTGAGGAGTTCGTCATCTAGTAGTGCATTAGCATCGACGACGTGGAAGGGCCGACTCCATAAACTCGAGTGCACCACGATGCCGCTTTTAAAAGAAAAGTCATCGCGTGTGCAGAAACGGACGGAAATCGGGCCGCATCGCGGTCCTTCTCGAAACGTGCGTGCGGGACCGGCGGAAACAAAAGCAGAAGATTGTCGACAGCAAAGCTTCACGCAAAGGCTTCAGTGAACCACAGCAGGGTCGGTTTCCGCAAATTGAAGAGCTGCTCCGCGAGTATGTGCTTGAGGAGCGAGTGGCACAGCGGCCCATGACGACAGAACTGCTCCAAGAGCGGGCTATGCAATTAGTCTTAGAAAAAAGTCTAATGCGGAGCCTGCTTAAAGCGAGCAGGTGCTGGCTAATTAACTATATGAAGAGGAAAGGCTCTTCCCTCCGAAGGGGAACATGCATATGCGAAAACTTTTGCGGAGAAGTACAATGAAAAGCTTTACAGTTTTCAGAGGTTCGTCCTAAACTTGCGGCGCAACAACGGCTACCTGCTTGGGCAAATCTGGAATGCCGATCAGACGCCTCTTTACTTCGACATGCCTGGCACCACAACTGTCGAGAAGAAGGGGGCGAAGCAAGTTCGCGTGCTGACATCGGTCCACGGTAAAACTACAGTGACGGCAATGCTCTGTTACACGTCAGATGGGCACAAGCTTCGCCCGTACCTCATATTTAAATGGAAGACAATGCCGAAAGGAATCGTTTTTTCGAGTGGTGTGATCGTGCGGGCCAGCAAAAAAAAAATGGGTGCGCGTTGCAATCGATGTCTTACGTTTTTTTTTTTTTTTTTTCGCGGTGGAAATTGGGTGCGCGTTACAATCGAGGGCGCGGTAGAATCGAGTGAATACGGTAGTCTTTTGTGTGACCACACAATGGCCACATTCAGAGCTGTGAAGTTTAGTGTACTGTAAAGTAAGAAATAATGACCCAATCAAAAAAGTCCTTCCTATGTTGTATGTCTTATGCTTTCTACTGTCAATCCCTATGTCATTTATAAATTTTTGACATGTGGTTATTTTTCTATTGTGGTAAGAACAATAAAAATTGTTAACTTGGTTATTTAAATAACTAATGAACCTACAAAAAGAATAACTACCTTTTTAGAATTAGGAGAACAAACTAAGTAAGCATGCCAACTTTTGTCACATTTGTTTGGTTCAAAAATAAATGAGAGAGCCCTAAAACCCATGTCCCCCCTTTAAGGGTGGACAAACAGACAATTGTACAGACAGACAGATCAAAATTTTTGCATCCTCCATCGTCTTTAATAATAAAAAACCGAAGAGATCCAGCGGTCAAGGAGGCACCAGGCGTCGGTTAGCGGGACTGCAGCGGATAAATGTAGGGGGTGCATTTATTACGTGGGGAAAAAAGGAATCCAAGTTTTCACAACTGAAGTTGCAGGTGCATTTGTTATACGAGTGAATAGAGTGTTCACATTAGCGGAGAAAAAATACCTGCAGTGCAAGTGAAAACCAGCTAGTATGACTTTCTTTCTCAGATTAAGAGCAGGCAAACTGCTATTATCAGGACAGAGCTCACTTCTCTTATTTTTGTTGCTAAGGTTTTAGCTGAGTATTGTCGCGGCCTGTGTAGTTGGTATCAAGGACCGCCTTTGTTTCCGGTCCCGATTTCTGTAAATTTGGCAGAATGAAAGTGAGACGTTTACCCATTTGAGTTTAGTCTCTGGCATCAGTTTACACTAGACTCGCGACAATTCGAACTCTGATAATTCATACTTTCGGTTTTTTTCAAACAAAATTAAACTTTCGGGTTGGCTCTCTATTCTTTCAACTCCATTATTCAGTTAATTCACACTTTTTGTAGTTCCATATCAGAAAATGCTTGCTGCTTTCCTGCTACTATTTAAAAATTTACGTGCCTATATAATCCTAAAAGTCTAGAAATGAAAAAGCGCCTCGGGCCTTCAAGGAAAACGGCTTTGCTAGTAAACAAATTTTTGAAACGAAGCGCACGTATGGTAAACTGAGATGCTCCTCAAGTGGTGCAGAGAGCTTTGTGCTGAAGGCACATATAGCAAAGAAGCAGTTGAAAATTCATGATTTCTTTAAAAGGTCTGATCACCAGTAAATGGCCGATGAACTTGTGGACCTTACACCTCTGCTTTCTGTTCATGGCATGCAGTTAGATATTGCAATCATTAAAATAATTTGTATTAAGTCTGATAAAATCAATGCCTAATCATAATGTGTGATGTCACCTCACCCACAGTTATATATGTGAGAACTTCTTGATAATTCAAACAAAATTCAGAGGTCTCTTCGAGTTTGAATTATGAGAATCGACTGTATTTTTCCTAGCACATCTGAAACCAGCTGTCGCCTTGCAGAATTTATCAATTTTGTTCCCACTCCAACACAGGTTATGTGAACTTGCTGGTTACGGCGGCGGTGTTTGGTGGCCTGGCGTGGTACGGCTTTCCCGTGGCCATACCGTACCGGCACATCTTCCAGCTGCTGGTGACCGCCGCCACGTTTGCCCCGGTTCTTGCTCTGTTCCTGTACGTCAAGGGGCGTTACTCGACCTGGGAGCACCAGTTCCCGCCAGGAAACACTGGTTTGTTGACTGCTTCAGTTTAGTCTAGCCTATGCTCTTTTGAGAGGGAGGGGGAAACTAGAGAGAAGAGATAAAGGAGCATTTCTTCTATCAGGAAAATGAGAAAAAGTGAAGTTTAGTGTGTTTGTTCCTGGCGTACTGCTTCTCTTTCTGTCTTTCTATCGTACTGTGCAGTGCTCCTTCGTAACTTCTTCCTTCCTTCATTCCAGGAATCGTCGGACCTTTACTCAGGTGCTCAGCAGCGTTTCATGTCTGTAGTTACAAGCAATAGTGACAATCGTGCGTGAAACAATGAAAGGCAGTGAAATCCGTCGTCATGAAATGACTCGTGACCTTGATAAAAGATCAGGTTATCTAAACTTAACTACACTCAAGCCTCATTATAACAAACTCGCATCTGCCACAAAAATGCTTCGTTACAATAAAAAATTCGTTATAAACTATTCTTTGTAACATTGTATCTTGGTAATGCTATTACAGTCGACTCCCGATAATTCGAAGTCGCTTAATTGGAATAATCGGTTATTTGGAAGTGGAGCGGGGATCCCGTCAGTTTTGCATGCAGTTCAACAGGAAGAAATTCTCGGTAATTGGAAGCTAGAGGTCTGAAATTTCGGTTAATTCGAATTTATCTTCAATCGAATTCCCGGAGGAAATCGTAATGTTTGTTAAATTTCCTATTTTCGAAGTGCTAAACAACAATGCGTGTCCCACCGGCACCCAAAACATCGCAGTTGACCACAGCGCCGCAGCTCGAAGCGTCAGCTGATGGCATCGCAGTTGCATGCAGCGCCCCAGATCACGAAGTGGCTGCTCCGGCGGTTCTGGTTCCGGGCCTCATTGTTGATCTCGTTACGGTCGTGTGCGGACTCAGCGTTTCGATGTGCGACAAAGCTCCATGTGCATTTACTATGGCAACTCGTGGGCCTTATCAGACGCTTGACTTGGCAACGAAAGTCAAAATTTTGAAAGAAGTTGAACAAGGAGGCACTGCCAAGCAAGATATTGTGCAGAAATACGGCATCAAGCCTAATACCCTCTCTAACACCCTGAAGAACAAGCGCTCGGTTCTGGACGCATTCGAAAATGACCAGTTCAAGATGTCTCACAAGAGAATGCGCACCGGCACCCACCCGGAGTTAAAGCAAGCCCTGCTCATCTTGATTTGGGAGGCTCGAAGCAACAGACTCCCACTGTCGGACGCTAAGATCGTGGAGATGGTTTGGCCCAGTGAACCTAGTCACGAAACTGAGGTTGACGATGACGCCGCCGCAAGTGAGCCACTACCGCGGGCTGCTGATGTAGCCGCAGGCCTTGCCCTCGCGCAGCGGTTTTTCACTGCTGAGAGCAACGCCGAAGAAGCACTCGTGCACATATACAGCCTGCAGGACTTGCTTTTTGCTGCAAGATTCAGCAAACAGAAGCAAACGGCAATCACAGATTTTTTCTCATAAACTGCTTTGAAATGTATTTTTCGTTCATTGTGGTTAATTGGAATTTCGCTTAATTCGAATTTTTTCGCGGTCCCCGTGAACTTCGTATTAACGAGAGTCGACGGTAGTCTCTTAGTTCGTGATGACCAATGATCTGCTACCGTATAAACCGGAATATAAGTCTAGATATTTTCAATAAAATAATAAGCTAAAGTCGCCCCTCGTCTTACATAGCGGTGTCTAGCTGAAAGTGTGCCGCTCTCTGGCAACATGTGGCTTGCCTGTGCTTGAGAAGCCGGACGCGGCCATATCTGCATTTAAATCCAATTGCATGCGATGTTTTTGTTGTTTTGTTTTCTTTGTGTTCTTGATTTGCTTCTGATCTGTTCTGAGTTTTCGCTCCGCTTGGCATTGTGCTGCATTTTTAGTGGTATTTTTTTTCCGGTCACTGAATATAAGTAGCAGTGCTAGGAGGCAGTACTCAGCTGCGTTTAAACTGGATGATGTTGAGTTTGCAGAAGGGAACGGGAATGTGGCTGCTCAGCGCTGCTTTGGTGTATCTGAAAAAAGCGTGCGCTATTGGAGGGCACAGAAAGGGAAGCTGCAGATGCGCAGTCCTTGAAAAATGTCGTTTCGTGGACGAAGTGTCGTTCATTTGCAGCTGGAGGATAAGCTAGCGGACTTTGTGCGGGAAGTTCGTGCGCGCTCACTGCCAGTGACCGTGGATACCATTCGCAAGAAAGCCATAGAACTCGCTCGAGAAGCTGGGCTCACGAGAGAAGAGTTTCGTGCACCAAACTCTTGGGTGCGTCGATTTATGCGACCCAAAAAATCTTTTCTCTGGTGGCGCACATCTATCTGTCAAAAGTTGCCGGAGGAGTTCGAGGACAAGCTCATAAACTTTCAGCGTTTCGTGAACAGGCTTCGGGAGAAGAACGACTTCATGATGGGGCAGATTGGCAATGCCGATGAGACCCCCGTGTGGTTCGACATGCCTTCGTCGACCATGATCACGCAGCATGGCGCCAAGGATGTGAAGCTGTTGCCCACTGGCAACGAGCACTCGTGCTTCACCGTCATGCTGGCATGCACGGCAGATGGTAGAAAGCTTCCGCCCTTCATCATTTTCAAACGCAAGACAGTGTTGAAGGAAGTGTTCCCGCCCGATGTTGTCGTTCGCGTCAACAAAAAGGGATACATGGACGAGGCCATGATGCTCGAATAGATACGAGTGGTGTGGAACCGTCGGCCAGGTGCACTGCTGCGTCTTCACAGCATGTTGGTGTTGGATGCGTTTCGTGGCCACTTAACCGACGCAGTGAAAGGCGCACACAGCGACGGGAAAACGGATCTCGTCGTGATACCAGGTAGTATGGCGTCCACCCTCGAGCCGCTCGACATTGTTCTAAACAAGCCGTTCAAGGGCCGAGTGCGGCTGGAATACCAAGAGTGGATGTCCGGCGACAACCCCAAGACACCGACGGGCCGCCTACAGAGGCCTCCGCTTGCGACTGTTTGTGGCTGGGTGCTTTCCGCCTGGTGTTCCTTGCCGGATTCCATGGTGGAAAATGCTTTCAAGAAATGTTGCATCAGCAATTTGCTGAATGGCACTGAAGATGACGCACTGCGGGAGGCGGGTATCGACAAACTCTCGTCTTCAGCAGACAGTGGTGCTTCGTCGGACGAATAGGAGCAGTTGTGATGGTGGTTGAGGGGAGCTCCGACGATCGGGGTGCGGTGCACCCAATTCGCAAATAAATATGGTTTGGCAGTTTTGGGTTGTTTTTTTTTTCGGTACCCTGAACTTGGGGGGGGGGGGGGGGTCAACTTATATTCCCACTCGACCTATAGTCCGGTTTCTACGGTATATTCAAGTTCGTTTTATTAAGGTGTGAGTGTACTCGTAAAAACAAATCACTAAGCTTTTACTAAACAGCTAATTGTCGATGAGCACACCACCGAGAGAGCATAAATTATTGGAGAACGGCAGAGAACACTTACACGGGCAACACACGCGCACCTTCGAGGGACAGATTTGTGTCTTTTCACATCTCTGTACTCTCACCTATGCTTGGCTGTTTCGCGAACTACATCAAAAAAATATATAACTCATGGAAGCTTTGTTTAAAAACAAAACAAGAAATACAGAATGGCAGGGTTCATATGCGTCCTTGAAATCCTTGAATTCGAAAAGTGAATTTTCAAAATGTTTAAAAGTCCTGAAATTCTACTCTGTCCTTGAAAACTCCCTGATTTTTAAGTCTAAAGTCCACAGTGTCACCTGCTTTCTGTTGTAGATCAGTGTCAATGCGGCCAGCTTTCCAATTCAGAAACAATACACCGTGCGGCTTTGCATGTATTGTGTGTTCATGCCTTGTTCCATCGATCTCCTCACTTCTTAGTTTATTCTATTTCCCTCTCTTTCTCCATTCTTACGGCTCTAGTCTTCTGCATTTATGCTGCTTTTTTCTCTTTCAAGCGAGTGGTAAATGTAGTTAGTAAACTGTAATGGTGGTAAGCTTTTGCTAATTCTAGAGAAGCCTCACACCTGTCCTGAACCATAATAATAGAGTTGAAACTTGGATCTAACAAAACCAGACTTCACCTGGTTACCAATCTAAGGAAGAAATTTGATATCCTGGCAAGGTACTGTTAATATGGAACATTGTTGTCAACCTGAACTCATCAAAATAACTTAGAACCAAAACTGATTTCACTGAGTTTTGTTCTGAAATAAATTACTACAAAGAAGCGCTTTTTCTGTTTGTTTTTTTTTACACCCATGGCTTTTTTTTTCTCCTATGTGCAGGTATTACGAACCAGAATATTACGATTTATTGGTTACGAAGAAGTAAATAAAAAAAGTCTTGCAATATACCGTATTTGCTCGATTCTACCGCGCCCTCGATTGTAACGCGCACTCGATTTCCACCGCGAAAAAAAAAAAACACAAGACATCGATTGCAACGCGCACCCATTTTTTTCTCGCTGGCCCGCATGATCACACCACTCGAAAAAACGACTCCTTTCGGGAGCGTCTTCCATTTAAATATGAGGTACGGGCGAAGCTTGTGCCCATCTGACGTGTAACAGAGCATTGCCGTCACTGTAGTTTTACCGTGGACCGATGTCAGCACGCGAACTTGCTTCGCCCCCTTCTTCTCGACGGTTGTGGTGCCAGGCATGTCGAAGTGAAGAGGCGTCTGATCGGCATTCCCGATTTGCCCAAGCAGGTAGTCGTTGTTGCGCCGCAAGTTTAGGACGAACCTCTGAAAACTGTGAAGCTTTTCATCGTACTCCTCCGCAAAACTTTTCGCATATGCATGTTCCCCTTCGGAGGGAAAAGCCTTTCCTTTTCATAAAGTTAGTTAGCCAGCATCTGCTCGCTTTAAACTGGCTCCGCATTAGACATTTTTCTAAGACTAATTGCATAGCCCGCACTTGGAGCAGTTCTGCCGTCACGGGCCGCTGTGCTGCTCGCTGCTAAAGCACATACTCGCCGAGCAGCTCTTTAATTTGCGGAAACCGACCCTGCTGTGGTCCGCTGAAGTCTTTGCGTAAAGCTTTGCTGTCGAAAATCTTCTGCTTTTGTTTCCGCCGGTCCCGCACGCACGTTTCGGGAACTCCGAACGACCGCGATGCGGCCCGATTTCCGTCCGTTTCTGCACACGCGATGACTTTTCTTTTAAAAGCGGCGTCGTGGTGCACTCGAGTTTTTGGAGTCGGCCATTCCACGCCGTCGATGCTAATGCACTACTAGATGAACTCCTCAGCACACGTACGAAGTGCCGCACATGAGAAACACATAGGCAGAAATGGACGACGCGCCATGCCGACGCACGTAGGGGGCGGCCATTGTGGATTTGCCGATGGCAATAGATTGGCCGTAATTTTTTTGTTCGTACTCGATTCTAACGCGCATGCGATTTATGAACTCGCTTAACCGGAAAAAAGGTGCGCGTTAGATTCGAGTAATTACGGTACTGTTAGCAGCGAACTATTTTCATATAATATGCAACATTGTTATAATGAGGCGGTTTGAGTGTATTGGGTGGAAACATCTGTCACACATAGTCATCAGGTCATGAGCTCGCCTTTACAGTCGAATCTCGATAATTTGAACTCAAAGGGGCCCGAAAATTTTTTTTGAATTTAAAGAAGTTCGAATTACTAAAAGCTACGTAAACGGAGGGCTCCCCATGCAGCGACGCTTGTGCATTGAGTTAACACACGAGAGGGAAGTTTCAGAAGACTTTCATTTATTCACAAATCACAGGACATCCGTCATTGATTGAATTAATCGGTGATAAGCTTCTCCACACGTTTGCCTTGCAGCGAGTCAATCGAATGCGCACGCACGTTGCAAAGCATGTCTACTTCGGCTTCAGCATTCTCCTGGCAAGAGAAGTTGCGCGCGGCAATGTCCAGCACCGACACTCCAGACGACGACGACGACTGCATCGCCACTACTACCCTCTGCACCAAAGCCGCAGCGTGGCCAGCACGCGACAAGAAAGGAGCGTCTCCACGCGGAGAGAAGTAGATTGGCATTTGAGATAGACCAACACTCCACGGCAGCTTTTTTTTTTTGCTCTTTTTGCTTGCGTTCTTGAAAGAAGAAGAGTTACGTGGCAGAGATGGGAAAGGGGGAAGCGTGGCATCGGCACATGAGAGAGAACCACACTCTGAGACAGCTTTTCTCTCTCTCTCTCTCTCTCTCTCTTTGCACGTGTCGTTAGAAGGAGAAAAGTGCTCACGAGGCAGAGGCGAAAAGGGCGAAGCGTACACAGGCGCGTTGCGATTCGGCATTTGGGAGAGAGCAAACATTCTATCGCAGCCTTTTCTTTCCTTTTCCTTCGCGCGCAGCGTTGAGTAAGGTCTCTAGATGGAACAAGGTAGCGTCACTCATTGTTCTCGAGCCGTCCTCCTCACTCTCTCGATTACTCCTCTTTTTCTCTGCCATCCGCGTCTGTAATTGGTGCATTACTTGCACGTGATCTTGCCAATGGCTGGTGGTGTTATTTATTATTATGCTAAAGGTTCACAACGAGTACGCATGCGCATATGGCTCCAGCCGGATTCTCGCCGTGACCAAAGACAAAATCGTAGCCAGAACATAAACTGAAGAGGAGGAGCGTTTCGGTGTGCGCTAAGTCGACCAAGATTGTTTCGCCATGCTCGTTCAATGCAACATCTGCGTTTTTCAGCAGTGCTGCGTTGCCGTAAACAACAGAAAATGGTTTCGCTCTCTTCAACTTACCTCGTGCTTTCCGAGATGAAGCGCACCATGAAGTGCAACTATGAACCATTTCACGCGAATGCTTTCGTGCAACTCCGTCAACGTATGTCGACGCGGATCTGCGAAGCGAGTTCACTTGTCGGTTTTTATTGAAACGCCAGGCGCGCGTCTAATGCGTGTCTAGTGCATGCCAGTTGGTACAAATACATGTGGGTATGCACGTATACAGAACAGCTGTAGGTTGTAATCGACGCACCTTAAGAAACATTTCACTCTTGACCAGTTCCCGCTTGAGCCGAAACGCGCTGCTTCGAGACACCTCACCAGTATACAGAACTCTCACTTTTCAGGAAGTTCCCAGCACCGCATCAGAATCACTTGGCATCACGATTGTCCAAATGGGCACATTTAAAAAAAAACGTCATCGCAGTGCTGCTGGACGAGTGTTCGTACCAGTCTGGTCATAGTTTTTTTTTTCTTGCGTGTGCACAAGCCGGTTGTAATCAATCGTCACAACGTCACGCCCTGTGGCCACTTACAGGATCCAGCAAGAAGCACGTTCACTGTGTCACAGCACGAACAAAACACAATCGAAGAAGTGGACTAGTTAGAACTGGACAAAATACCGCGGCCGTGGAACTAAAATGTATTACGCGAGACGCCATGGCTAGTGGTGTAAAGTATAGAACTGCCCAACGTTGCCGGTTGAGTAACGCACATCCAGCTTGCTCTTGTGTTGTGCCGTTTATGTTCATAAAGGTAACTGTTTATTCTACGTCTTATTTTGTTTCATTTTGTTTCATTTACATCTATTCACCGTAGCAACAGAACCCAAACATTCGCTTTTGGATGAAAGTTTTAAACCTTCTAGGGGGCGCTTCACGCAAATAAGCGAGGAGGAAAAGGGAGGGTGTCGCTACCTTGAAAACTTGTTTCATCTAAGGACCTTAGCGTTGAGGTGTCACTGGTGCCGCCGCGGGATTAGGCGGGGTGCTGAGAGCATTTTCTGAGCGAGGTATGTTCGAATTAACTGCCAAAATTGCTTGCGTGTTCAAATTGTTTGGCGTTTTCGCCCATTGGAATACACATAGCTTTGACGGGACCTCATTGTGAGTTCGAATTAGCGTGTTAGAATTGATGAAATTCGGCTGTATTTTGACAAGGCTACCGTAAAAAACCGGGATATAGGCCGGCTCACTTTGAATCTCTGAAAAAGAAATTTTTAAAAATCACAAAGTATCGCGGCGCACCCTTTCCTTTGTAAATACGCAGCACAACCAGCTGCACTGTGGTGACATTTCATTTGGACACTAATCTTATTTAGTTAAATGCCAGATGGCCACAGAGTGCTGTCACTCCGACTCTTCTGAACTTGAGTCTGACGACATCTGTTTTTCACTAGTAACATAAAAGAGTGCATCATCCTCGGTTATATCCGATGCGTTACTGATGCAGCATTTGCGGAAAGACAGAAGTACGCCATCTCATTACAAAGCCCTCCCGCTTCATAAATCGGCGCACCCCGAGTTGCGCGCTATCTCGAGAGCTTTCACGCAGATGCACTCTGCTGTTACGGGTACCGACCTTGCAAGCAGCGCCTGGACGAATTCGCCGATTCGGCTGGGTGCACTGCAATGTGTAGATTATTTTTTTGTTGTTGTTGTTGCTGCAGGATGGCTTCTTCGATATCTGACACTTTTCTCCAATGCACCGAATTCCTGTTGTGTCTCCAGGTTGCCGTGCGCTTCGACATACTCGATAACTTTTTTCTTAAAGCCTATCGCAAACTGTTGTCGACTACCGCTCATTTTTTTAAGGAAATAGAAGACAGCAGACTGACAGCAGATAAGCGAGGCAAAATGGCACTGCTAGAACAATGTAGGCCTTGCTTAGCCTTGCCCAATAGCGCCACTGCCGATGCTCACAATGGCAATGGAGGCTTTGAACTTCAGTTGCCCTTTCTTGCGAGACTTCCACGGTTTTTTTGTTTTTTTTTTTCTTCCAATGACTGGTATTTAAGACAAGGGTCGACTTTTCATTGCGCTTTTTTCTCTCTTTTTTTGAAAAATATTTAATCTATATTTTGATTTTTCGGGTATATGCCATCCACATGCACGAAGCAGTTGTACTTTCACATACTGGTGGCACTACGGGTGGCATTTCATTTCTGTAAATGCTCCCACAGCAACATAACTGTGTGGGTTTGTTTTTTCTTATGATTTATGCGACAGATGACACTGATCGTCTCGTTAGTAGTCTGTTAAAAGTTTTGAGCTGCATTCACATTCAGCTGTTTCAAAGTTTTGGGCTTGTCTCATCGCTGCTAATTATTTGAAAATTATTAGAAAAAAAAACATATGGCAAATCTATTAGAAGTTTTTGAACATTTACACACGCCTAATGAACTTGGCAAGTTTCGTCACAATCCATGTATATATTTTTTTCTTGTTATTTTCAGGGCCCATGTCGCCCCTTTTATTGTGCAGGTGGTTCAACTTTACCCAAACCTCAATGTGCTTTCGGCCCTTTGAGCGACCAGTCTACACACAACTAGCACAAAACATGTTCTGTACACAGTTGAGCGTGAAATGCCTCAAAGGTTATTAAAGACCTTCCCGTTCTTCTGAACCATTGTGGTGTCTATATAACCGGCCCTTGCCTTCCCAGGGATAAGTTTGGGTGATTGGGACCCCTGCGTATGTGTTCAAGGAACAGGATGATTGATAGGACGAGACTGCACTTTGCGAAATCGGATGGCACACCTAACAAGAGAGGGAAAGATTGGCCGGTGCCAATCTTTCCCTCTCTGTTGATGATGATTTTTCAAACAACGACGATGATTTTTCAATCAACGAAAATTATTAGATTCCTGGCTCTCTAGCCCAGTTAGAAATAATGTAAATAAATTTTTTGTATTTCACAGAACCTCATTGACTTATAGAAATCAAACATATTCATAACAAGGGTTCAGGAGATGTGAGTAAACATTTTCAGAAGAGTTTGAGTGATTGCTCTTGACCGACCAACCTGGTGCATCGTATAAGCATTGATCGTCATCCCGGCTTTACTGTTTTGCAGGCAATGTGCTCAACGACTACGTGAAAGGCAAGGAGCTCTCGCCTCGCATTGGTCGCACTTATGATCTGGCTGCGTGGTGCTTTCGCTGTGGACTCCTCACGTGGGTGCGTACCTGCATGTCGCATCTCGGTTTTCCTCTATGAATCATGTATTTTTTCTCAGGTAGTAGCATATGATCATTAGTTCAACATTCGAAATCATGTAAGGGAATACTTTATTTAAACAAAGCGTGCCATAAAATTGTTGATACTATTCAAAGAAACTACATAATTTGTGTCGTTTGGCACGACTGCTGCTGCTGCATGGATTGCAGGCCATACTTGTCTGCTTGCGCTGCCGAAACCTGAAAGTTGGCCCATTTATAAAGTGTCCTAGGATTCTTTGGCCCTGCGTAACAAGCGAGTTTGATTGTCAGCTAGTTGGTTAAGCGTATCAAGACAAGGACAGTAAAGACGGACATACTACGGCATAAAGCATTGACTGGCAATTGAAGTTTAACTGTGACGAAGAACACAAATACAAATCTGCGTATCGGCCCTCGTCAATGCGTTCTTCGCTGCACATTCTCCGCATCAAACTTCAATTGCCAGACGGCACTTCGTGTGCTAGTATATGGGCTGCACTGTTCTTGTGTTTCGTGCCGTTCCCCCTTACGAAACGAGTGGCTCTTGCACATGAGGATTAGTGATAAAAAGCCCTATTTTTCATGTGCTCAAACAAATATCTTCTGTGTTCCATTCGTAGGCAACGCTGCTGGGTGCGATGGCCTGGCACGAGTTCAAGGCCAAGGGATGCCTGGAGTATGGCTTTGCTGTCAGCGCGGCCTGCCAGATGCTCTACATCTGCACAGTCATCATGGACGAGGCCAGTGGCAGTGTTTTTCTTTTAGTTGTGCCTGGACTGCGGAGTTTGTCGGTAGTTGTTCTTGCGTTGCCCTCTTGTGACACCCCGAGGCACTCGTGGCACCTGAGTGGGCACTTCTGGGAAAGGGGTTTAGCAGGTTCCTGCCCCTTGCATCTTTTGAGGTGTACAAGATACCAGATGCAGTGTACAAGATGACTGCCATTATAGACTCCGTGCGGGACCTATCGGGCACACAACGTTGAGAGTTGTAGCAGACAGCAGCGCCTAATTGCTTTGATAGGTACGGTGGCACAAGCGCCCGTGGCTAGGGGGTTAGTGCGTGCTTTGAGCAGAACTTAATGATATCATAGGGGGACAATCTTCCGCGGTGCCGCCACGAATAAATTGAAAAACCTTTACGAAAGCGGCCACATTTTTTGCGTTAGTGAGCGCTTTGCTGCCCGTCAAGGAATGACGGCTAAACGCGTGTGCACGTGTAGGTACGTGTAGATGTACGTAATGCATGAGGCTTGCTGCATAACTATCGCGGCAAGCTGTCATTCTTTCAAACTTAGATTATAATAGGTGCTTGGCCACTGCCCACGTACTTGCAAAATATTCGGAGCGTTTAGAAATATCAATGGCTCGCCGTAGGAAACTGACGTGCTCGTTTGTTGCGGCGTCGTGCCACGGCGATTTTCAGCCGCCGAGTCTCGCGAAGTGCTTTTGCTTGAAATTGTCGCGGCATCATCGTCGCTCATTATGATCATAATCTTTACCTCACTGCTCATGCTAAGAGCTTGAGGCGTGGGCAAGAAAGAGAATGCGAGAAGATTTAGTCTAGAAAGGACGGCACATGCCCCGTTCAGTCTTTCACTTCACCTTGTAGAGTGCCTGACGACGACGGCACGGTCACTTCGGCCACCGTCATGTGTCTCTCATTCACTATAACCTCTTGCGTTGTTTATGTTGCTTTCCGAAACAAACACCGACATGCACATACATCCATCGCTACAGCATTCGCAAAGCATCGTTTCTTACCGTGTATAGTTCTGCTATACTCTACGCCCTGCATCATTTCTTCCTAACATGCAGATTGTTTAATAGTCATAGAAAAAGAATTTTGAATGAACCAAATCCGAAAGATGAGATTCCATTTATTACTTTCGGTGGTTATTTCCTTCGGAGCTACAGCACTTGGTTTTAGACACAGGAGCGTCGTTTGGGATGCCACATGCGATTTGCTATGCGAGACAAAACGAATTGAATTGTAAGGTCATGTAAGTGAAATTTTTTCTTCAACAACATTAAGCTTTTTTTTTTTTTTTTCGTGAATTAAGGGGGGACATAGGTCTTAGGGCTCTCTCATTTATTTTTGAAGCAAATGTGACAAAAGTTGGCATACTTACACAGTTTGTTCTCCATATTCTAAATATGCAGTTATTTTTCTATGGCTTCATTAGTTCATTATTTAATTAGAATAACAATATCTATTGTTCCTACTGCAGTAGCAAAATAACCACCAGTCCAAAATTTACAAATAGCATAGGGATCAACACTAGAAAGCACAAGCTACACAACATAGGAAGCACTTTTTTGATTGGGTCATTATTTTTTACTTTACAGTACACGAAACTTCTTAGCTCTGAATGTGGCCATTGTGTGGCCACACAAAAGACTAATTTAAAAAACTTGCATCAAGAGAAATCAAAATGTGCTTCCAATGTTGTGTGCTCCAAACATGTAGCTTCATGCTGCAAAAAAACTATTCTGATATCTGTAATAGTTTTCGATATATTGCAGGAATGTTCATGCAGGGTGTACGAAATTGCCATTTTGGGAAAATCACGAAAACAAGAAATTTTAACATTTTTAAGCGTAAAAATGTATGTACTTAGAATTACATAGTCATTAACTTATATATAGATACAAGAAAGCCTAAGGAGTCCAACGCGGCAAACTGATAGAATATTGAACGAGTACTTCTTGAATTACAACACAGTAAAGTTCGTTGCATGTAACAAATACAAATATTTTTATATTAAGATAAAAAAAATTATGCTGCCCATTAAACATCGGCTCTCTGCATTTTTTGTGCACGTTTAGCTACATTGTGCAAAAACAATTGCAGCTTTAGCTGTCCTAGGTCTACTTTTACCGAACAAGCAAAAGAAAGTGGTCAAAATCAGTGCTTTGAGAAAAATGCTGTTAAAACTTTATTTCGCCGTTCCGAGTGAAAAATATCATGGTACACATGCTTTTAGTCAGTTAATATGCACAGGGAATGTAATAGGACTGATTGTTTGAACGAGCATGTCGTTTCTTCTAGTCCTGTAGCAAGTTGTCGCCGTGTACTCGTCTGCCCCAAAGCCGCTTATCAGTTCGGTGACTGTACTGACTGGCGATGTACGACGAATGTGCGCGCATCATCCGCGATCCGTCGAATAACACTGTGATGTTTTCCAGCTTGTATAGAATTAATTACCTGTTAATGTCGCGAACCTAAACTTGCTCCCTCGCTCATCTATTTCGAGGCTATACGAGTGCCGAGGTGTTAGTTTCCTTTTCACGTAAGAGTGCCGCATTTTCGAGCGGACGTCGCGACAACGTTGCGAACACGTCATTAAAAGCAGTCTACCTGTTGCCAGTAGCCTCCATTGCGGGGGCGGCGAGCATGTTCACCGCGAACGGATTGACCTTCTATTGTTCGTAGACGCGCAGCGTACTCCACTCTTGACGACCTGTCGCGCAGTTCAAGGTCCTTTCATCAGGCGTGGGAAACCGCGGCATCGGCGCGTTTAGCGATAAGACTGCGCTTCCGTTCCATCACTACAAGATTGTTATCTCTTGTAGCTTCACTTCTGCTTTTTACTTGCCGTCCTCTAACTGATGAGGCTACAAAACACGCCTGTTCTCAGTAACGTTGTCGGCAACAAACGGGCTCCTACGTGAGTTAGGCCCACACCGGTGAATCTGCGATCGCCGTTCACCGCAGCGGGTTCGTTATACTCGTTGTCCTGAGCCATAGCGGAGCTCTTTTTGAAGTTCACAGCGAATAAACGATCGCCAGACCCGCTTCACAAATTACTGTAGCACGAAACTTCTTTAATGCTGCAGGCAGTCAGTAGCACGATGACAAAATTGCACATGTCCGTGCGCGTCACGATGGTGAAGCAGGCGCTGGAAACGCCACTTGGCCTAGGTTTTGTCACAACCCCAAGCAGTTAATAGAATCTCGCGCTAGTGCTTCAGGATGACCCGTTTTTTGCTGAAAAACCAATTAGCAAGGCGAGCCAGCGGTGGCAGGAAATTGAAAATGAAGATTGAACCTTCTAAACGAGACCAAGATGAACACGATAGCTCGTGTGTGAACGGCAACAGTTCGTCGCGGAAAAAGCGCGACTTTAGCGTCAATTTGCGCTCACATTCAACTCACAGGGATGTTATAAATTGATTTTGCGCCAGAAATAATGACGCGAGTAGCTAGAAACTTCTCAGATGGGTGTGAAAATAGGTACAGATTCCGAAAATGTCAGCTTCAGAAAGTCGATTTTTTTGCGATTCTTTGCCTTTTAAGACGCGTGGCCCCTCTTAAGCTAATTAGTTATTTTGAAAATGATCTATTGCTAAAGATCTTGAGATTTATAAACAAAATCATTTATATAACAAGGCACCGCCCATTTCATGGTCGATCCCCCATGGTGCTTTGTGCCAGTTTAATAAGGCCCAACCAACCGACGTACTAGCTTGATCTTACCGAGTGCGCATACACTGCTGGGGGGCTACTTGTGTTTACGGTAAAATGCTACGTAATTCAGTTTGCCCCTCCACTGATGGATCCATCAACTCAATAAAGCACTAATTGACCTCGCATTGCATTCCTCAAAACTGCGAACGGTACACGGCAATGCAGTAGTTATTAACCTCGCATTGCATTCCTCAAAACTGCGAATGGTACACGGCAAGGCAGTAGTTATTAAGGTTCATTAAAACGTCACATCATCCTCGATCTGAAATATAATTTCTTGCATGAGTTTCTTTTCTCACCAGCTCTGTGGCAGCAAGAACTTCACGCAAGATCATCGCTGCTGCAGAGGGTGTCTCGGACCATTTCAAGCACGCATGGGCAGAATGCGAAACGGCAGAGGAAATAGAAACTAAACACTTCTAACGTCCCACAGCCGTGATCCACTTATCTTGCTGCCCAATAAAGCAGGAACAAGTTGAGAAACTCTGAAACTTCGTTCCCACAGGACACAGCGTGTACCTGTTGGTACAATAGACTACGTAGCAGTTCATGATTCGGATAAACTACGAGCAAGCGAACGTTGGAAGAGTGTTTCGTTTTGCTCAAGCTCTCAACGTTTGTTTTCTCTGACGGCCGCGCAGCGGTGCGCCAGTCTCGGTGCACAGAGTCTATAGCTAAGATGGTAGAGCACCTGGTAGGTCATCCGAAAGTAATGGTTTCGCACCCTGGCGGCGGCAAGTCTTTTTGTTCACTTTACATTTGCATTGCGATCACTATAATACAAAATAAACAGTACAGCTAATGTCCCCTGTACTTTCCTTGACTCATTAGCGGTTGGGTTTTATCAAGGCTCCATCTTCACTCGAGTAGTAACAACGAAACAGTCATACGTTATTGTCGAAGGAAGCAAAGCTGTCATCAATAAGCTGAGTCTGTTTCTTCAGCAAATCGCTGCTTGCAGCGACAAAACTGTAACATGTGTTTGTACAGTCGAACTCCGATGAGTGAATTATTGGCTATATCGAACAGCTGAGAAATCTCCCTGAACGCCGCGCCGAAGCCCAGAATGTGCATTTTTCAAAAAGACCCAACTCATACCTGCCTGACTCACCCGAATTCTCCAAGAGACTCTCGAATTTTGACCAAATATTCCTATTGTATGAATGCTATTTTGAATCTCCCGAGAAATTGCACCGACGTCAGCCTTTCCTGCTGTGACAGTTGTAGTGTGCTAAAGGGCACTTGCCACTACATTTCTAGTTCGTTATAAGCATACCGTAGAGGTACCACTAAGTATATGCTAGGCACGGTAGTACCGCGCATAAGTATGTACGCTGGCTGACCACGACACCCAGTCGCCGTCGTACCCAAAGAAGGCAACCACAACTTTTGCATCAGTCTGCCTTGCAGGGTACGCTAGTCGTACACCGCTGCATCATTTGTGTTTGTTACGCGCTTTCGGGAGTTGCGTGTTTTCTCGAGTTCAGTTGGAAGGTCGACGGGGTGTCAAAAGGAAAGAAGTGCTTGCAAAGTGTATCTAGACTCTCACACAACTGAGTTTCCGTGCTTTGGGATTTCACGGAAAGGCGACAAGTATGGATTCTGTATACCACGAGTGCCTGTGATGTAAGCATTTCGTGCAGTGGCTAGGCTGACATATTGCTTCTCGGAAGCCTCACAGGTACGTTCATGCTTCGGAAGGGCAGGACAACATCGGAAGTTTCCTCCAAGAGAGCTGCGATCAGCGCAGAATGCCTTTTCACGGCATTTCTTGTGGAACACAACTTGCCGCTGAGCCTAAGTGATCACGCAGGACCATTGTTTCAGAAATGCTCACGAAGGGAAAGGGTTTGAAGTGGTATGGTTGCGGACGCACAAGAACTGCTCTTGTCTGCAAAATAACTGCAGAGTCCGAAAACAATGCGTGGAGGCCCTGAACCACCGTGCTTTCGTGGTTTCAGTGTATAGAAGCAGGGACAGCGCGTCACAATATTGTCAGTCTCAATAATGCCAGATACGCAAAACAAAAAGATCACTCTGTGCCCCTCTCTCCCACCTCGCTGTGGTGTCCCAAATTTTCATCCTGCTAGGTTGGCAAGTATGCCAACTACCGAGGACACTAAAATGGGGATGCGAAGTGACTTGGGCGTCACAGCGCAGTGTTCACATTCCCTTCCTTGTTAGCACACAATGGCACGTGAGCCTGAAAAGCATGGCCCTCAAGATGTTCAACCACGTGACGGACTTTTAGTGTCTTCGGTTTTTGAAATCATGCCTCGGAGGCTCCTCTTTTTTTTTTTTTTTTTTTTTCGCATTAGAGAAGCTGAACGCAGCTGTTGCCAGCTACAAAGCCACAAATGACATTGATATCGCCAACATGACGAGGGTGGGAACCCTGCGTTGTCTTTAGCGCCTTGTGGACGTCTCGCATCGTCCCTGAAAACTCCACACTCGGGAGTTGAACTGAACGTTGACTCGCACGTATCGTTTAAAAGTCTGGCGCACAAGGTGCGACGTCAAGTAAAGCACCATCGTAAACTTTCCTTGTGGGCCAGGTGACGACTTCAGGTGCGTCGTGACCGCTGGCTGTGGCTTACGATGCCTCAGTGAAACATAGGACTTATCAGCATTTCCGGGCACCATGTCGGACGGTGACTTTATCGATACAGATGACGACATAGCTGTTTCTTTCTGCATCGATGGCGAGATCATGGCTGCCGGTGCGGTGTAAGTGTAGCTGTGTGGTTATAAATATGTCAACACCTTCGCTGTCGCCACTAACCCACCTTCTGCTGTGCTACAAAACTTGCAACGGCGTACTGCGTCAATCAACGCTGTTGTGCCCGAAGCAGCTGAATTCGCGTATTTAAAAGGCTTCAATGATATTGAGGATGACTGGAACTTGAAGGCGCGCAAGAAACAAGACAAGTTAACGCACCTTTTTCATGCGTAAGAAAGTGCGGTAAGTTGCAGTTGAAGTTCACACATTGTTCTTCATTATACTGCAAGCCAATCATTATGTTAGTGCTCGTAATGATTTCTGAGGCCTGAAATGCTTTACTTTATGCCTTGAATATGCATATTTTGTATTTTGAATTCTTGATATATCGAACTATTTCGCAGTCCTTTTAAAGTTGGATATATCCGGGTTCGACTGTATAACCCCTCACATCTCCCCACAGGAGTACTACCTCAGCTCGGCCTTTGTGAACGAGGATGGACTCGGCTACGTGGCCGTGGCGAGCTTCCTTGTCCTGATGCCCTTTGTGAGCGTCCTGCCGGCCAAGTTCCTTTTGGAGCACCAGCCCAAGACCCTCCCCATTGTCTGCTATGCTGGCATCGTCATCCTGTTCTGTGAGTGTTATTGGGCAGTTTTTTGGGGTGAACCTTTTTCTTTCTAAACTCTAGCTGTTATCTAGTTGTGGACAGAGTTATATTGTGGGCTTGGGGGGGAAAAAACCAATGAACAAAAACAGCACTCTTCTCATTCAAATTGACAAATACCATTAGTGCTCGTGCAAGGGCCGCACTTGTTTTCCGCTTCGTGATTGGGTACAGCCCTTCCACGAAAGTGTGAAACTTTTGTTCAACTTTCGATCTACCTATTTAATCATGCCATATACAGTTAAATCTCCATATATCAAACCTTCATATAATGAATTCACGATAATATATGAAGTTTTTTTATTCCCTGCTGTTACTCCATGAAATCACATGTGTTTGCGACAAACAATTGAGGAATTTGGCCTCAGATTTTGTCATTTTGGCACGAGCATGCATCTTCCGTGGTTGCCGCACCCCCACCGCCGCAATTTTTACCGTAATAGGTCAGGCACGTGCATGCCAAGTTTCTTGGCTCCATTTTCTCAGTGGAACAAGGGCAACTGTATATTTGTGGAACCGCTATTTACCAATGCGGAAGGAATCATTGTTTTTTTGTGTACCCCTTTTTAGACCATTCGATGGTACATTTTCGTGCCTCACCATCCTCCTTGCTTGTACATTGTACCTGTTCCGTACCGCTGTCTGAAACCCTATGTATTTGTCTCGTACACAGTGGTTGGCTTGACTGCGATGCACCTCGCGCACAAGCGCAAGTACCACCTGCGGCGCAACTGGCCCGACCCAAGCTCCCGAGGACCGGGTGAGTTTTGCTCGTTGAGCTTCACTTCGCGTCTGCGTTTGAAGTGTTCGTAACACAAACGTCCGTAAAATGTGAAGGCCGCGCCGCGTTGGTTGCGCTCAGCCACTGCAGTTTTATAGACAAGGAATGAATACTGTTAGAGCTTGCTTCCGATACAAGATCCGTTAATTTTAGCATTTATTTGGGTAGCTTCTAGTTTAGAACAAGGATAACTTTGAGAGGGTGTGAATATGTCCGGCATGACTTTTTGTAGGTCGCCTTCTTTATTTATATATAATTTTAGGCCTTCGGAACATGGTGAATGGCACCTTGTCCTTTCCCTTAGACATTTTGGTTCTGAAACCAAGAATCGAACCAGGGACCTTGAGGAGCGAGCTGAATTCGGCAATGCAGTTCATCTCTTAGTTAATGAAAGTCTTGCTAAGCGGAACGTATTTCTTAGGTCTTCAGGTTTTGTTCTACGAAAGTCTCCTGTATTAAACAGTTAATGTTGAGAATATTTGAGCAATATTTGGCACTTTTGGAGAAGGGGATTCCTAGCACGGTTTATGGCTAGTGTGGCAGCCGCGAGTTGACCCTGCCCGTAAATGGTGTCTTTCATTTTGCAGGCCTGGACTACCTGTTGGACAATGCCGGCAACCGTCTTGCCGTCTCCGGCCTGTGGGGCTCTGTGCGGCACCCAAACTACCTAGCCGACCTTGTCTGCCACCTGGCCTTTGCCCTGCCCTGTGGTCAGTGCCCCAATTATTCCAGCCGTTTCGAACACTTCTTTGTGAAGGTCATTTGATCTGGCCCAGGCAATGACTATCCTAGGCCGGGCATTCGGTACTAGTGTTACCGATGCGAAACATCATGCAGCACTTGCTCGATAATTCAAGCTTCTAGAATATTTGAACTCTGAGTTACCGTAATTACTTGAATCTAACGTGCACTTTTTTTCCGGTTAAGCGAATTCATAAATCGCATGCGCATAAGGATCGAGTACGAACAAAAAAAATTACAGTCAATCTATTGCCATCGGCAAAGCCAAAATGGCCGCCCCCTATGTGCGTCGGCATGGCGCGTCGGCCATTTCTGCCTATGTGTTTCCCATGTGCGGCGCTTCGTACGTGTGCTGAGGAGTTCGTCACCTTGTAGTGCATTAGCATCGACGGCATGGAAGGGCCGACTCCAAAAACTCGAGTGCACCACGATGCCGCTTTTAAAAGAAAAGTCATCGCGTGTGCAGAAACGGACGGAAATCGGGCTGCATCACGGTCGTTCGGAGTTCCCGAAACGTGCGTGCGGGACCGGCGGAAACAAAAGCAAAAGATTGTCGACAGCAAAGCTTCACGCAAAGGCTTCAGTGGACCACAGCAGGGTCGGTTTCCGCAAATTAAAGAGCTGCTCGGCGAGTATGTGCTTGAGCAGCGAGCAGCACAGTGGCCCGTGACGACAGAACTGCTCCAAGTGCGGGCTATGCAATTAGTCTTAGAAAAAGGTCTAATGCGGAGCCAGTTTAAAGCGAGCAGGTGCTGGCTAACTAACTTTATGAAGAGGAAAGGCTTTTCCCTCCGAAGGGGAACATGCATATGCGAAAAGCTTTGCGGAGGAGTACGATGAAAAGCTTCACAGTTTTCAGAGGTTCGTCCTAAACTTGCGGCGCAACAACGGCTACCTGCTTGGGCAAATCGGGAATGCCAATCAGATGCCTCTTTCAACCGTCCAGAAGAAGGGGGCGAAGCAAGTTGGCGTGCTGACATCGGTCCACGGTAAAACTACAGTGACGGCAATGCTCTGTTACACGTCAGATGGGCACAAGCTTCGCCCGTACCTCATATTTAAATGGAAGACGCTCCCGAAAGGAGTCGTTTTTTCTTGTGGTGTGATCGTGCGGGCCAGCGAAAAAAATGTGCGCGCGTTGCAATCGATGTCTTATGTGTGTTTTTTTTGTTTGTTTGTTTTTTTCCGCAATGGAAATCGGGTGCGCGTTACAATCGAGGGCGCGGTAGAATCTAGTAAATACGGTATTTGATGCATGTGTAATTGCCACGTTGTGCTGCATGGAAACGAAAAATTGTTTTTTAAAGAAAGATGGCCAATTATCACATGTTTCCACTGCCTTTGTGGTTTTTCCTTGTTTTCTTTTCATGATTTTTCTGACATGAAGCCAACTTGCGCACTGAAATTCGCATCAAAAATATGGTAAATTGTTGAAAGCTTTCGTATCCAATTATATGACATATCAAACCGCTTCCTTTTTCCTCCTTATATATGGGGGCTGGACTGAAGAATAAAAACTCGGCTGGCGAACTGAAAATTTGAAGTTCGTTTTGGTGGATCAATGGCTAGCGAGCTCAACTGCTGACCCGTAGGTCGGTGGGTTTGATCCCTGCCGTGGCAGTCGCATTTTGATGGAGGATGAAATGGTAGAGGCCCGTGTAGTGTGCAATGTCTGGGCACGTTGAAGAACACCAGATGGTCCAAATTTCCGGAGCCCTCCAGTGCGGTGTTTCTCATAATCATGTCATGGTTTTTGGACGTATAACCTCACATATTATTATCAACGGATCATTTGAAGTATGCTTGAGTTAACAGAGGTCATGAAATATGGGAGTCTGAATTATCGAGAGTCAATCATATTGTGTTTGCTTGCACAGGGCCGATAAGAGAAAACATTTTTATCAAGGAGCGTTTCGGCTGTACCACAATAGCCTAAGTCACTTTTTATTAACGCAAAATGTCCTTCTCTGCAGGCTTCCACCACGTGCTGCCTTTCTACAGCGTGCTGCTGTCGACGTTGTTCCTCGTCATGAGGACGATAGACGTCGAGCGCAAGTGCCGGCAACGTTATGGCGACCTCTGGGCAAGCTACACCCACAGGGTCAAGTACCGGCTCGTGCCCTACGTCTTCTGAGGTGGCCATCGCCGCGGCCGTCTTGTTTCATGTCTTCATCCATCTCCCTCTTCTGACGTCATCCCTCTTGTCTGTGCATCTTACGACTCGCCCACCCCCGCCCTGACATTTTTAATTTTGCTTGTCGCACGCCTCTGCTGTGCCGTGCCTCTCCCCCATTTTTTTTTAATGGAATCGTGGTCTGCGATGGTTTGTGCACGAATGAGCTTGAAAAATGCTGGGATTTACATGATGGGAGGGGGGTTCGCCGGGGACAATGTAAAAGGCGGTAACAAAAAAACAGCCTCGTGGTTTGATTACCATGGTGGTCAAACACCTTCATCGAAGACTTTTCAGTTTAGTACTTTTTCGCTTATCAAGAGCTTGCTGGCCGGTCATTTTGTCATTTCTCTTAGTCATAAGCACCCCTGTACAATGTGTGGTTGCCTTGTCACTTTTGTTGCCCCCCTCCCCCCTCCGCTTAATGTTAGCGTCACGAAGCCATTGCCGTGCCAACCCATACAACCGCGGTAAAAAAGCCTCACGGGTTCACTCGGACCTCGTAGAAGAGGCCTATAGAGTTTAAAATGAATATAGACAGAGGGATATTCTTATCAAAAGCATCATTGTTAAGAGTATGTGTGTGGGTTGTATCCTCCTTTGTATCGTTTCATTGTTTCCTTTTACGGGCGTCGAAATTTGCCACGCTTCCTGCAAATGGAAGCGAGAGTGTTTGAAGTATTGCAAAAGCACGCATTGTAGCCTGGGAGTCGACTGCGAGAGCAAATGGTTTCTTATCACCAATTTTCCTTGGCTTCTTAACAAATATTGAAATCCATCTGTTTGAGTCATTGCTTTGTACAAAGCATATGTGGTTCGACGAATGCGCGGCGAGCGACTTTCATCTGATCTTGACGCCTGCAAAGCCCCAGCTACGCTCAAAGGACAACGAAAGTCGCGCGTAGTCCATTTCCTTTCGCAAGAAGCACGGAGCGGCCGTTTTCATTGGCTGCGACCTGAAACTGTTTCGGTGCCATGAAAATCGTGTGATTTGTCGCAGGTGACATGGAGGCTAGCTGGGATATGTTGCAACTCGTGTGAAGGCCTCGGGTACCGCCTTATCGGCCAGCAGCGCAGTGTTTTGCCGATTACGCTCCTCAATAGCTGACATTGTGCAACCACAATTGTCACTAATGAGATCGATGTCATCATGATGGTATTTCTTTTGTGATTGATCAATTACATTTACAAAGACATCAGTGGATTTGTGCTATTATGATAGACATTGACCCTGCTACGATAATAATGGTACAATTTAGAATATCGTTCTAACAGTTCTTTTTCCTTGTTCCGACGGTGCTGTTTAATGCAACAAGGATCTCATGCCATGCCTTGTGACGTGTTGTGGCTGGTTTCACCGCTTCACTCTCCTAGTGTTGCTGGCACGCATTTGTTTTGTGGAACGAGTGGCACATTTTGTTGGAGATTTGTGTGTGTGTCCAACATTTTTTCGTTCTCACTGTCAAGTCAGAAATTTACAAACCGAGCTCGCTTAGTGTGCATTTCGTTGCCACTTCAATGGCTGTAACTGCACTTTTTTGTATTTTAGTTTTGTTTAAAAAATTTTTTTAACTGTGTGAAGATATAATTTCAAAATGAAGCAGCATTGCTCAGTATTATTTTATCATATGCATTGAATTTGTTTTGAGCGAATCCTGCTCAGCACCGCACAAGAGTCGGTAGATGGCAGTATATTGAATTTTAAGTTATCGTTACAATCGGTGTAACGAGCTTTAACTGCTATTGTGGTTGATTGTTCAAACTGAGTGTTCTGTACAAGTTTGTTGTTTTTCCTTCATTGTTTTTGGTTTGCGTAATTGATTCCCAATTATGCCTGCAAATGTTTTGAGGTTACATGGCTAATGATCTCCAAAAGTTTGTTTTATATGCATTAGCACAAGTCTGAGGCCATCAATCCGCTTTAAGCATCGCAATAAATTTATTTATCATACTGATTCGTTTAGTGCATCTAATGATGACCTGAAATCAGACTATTTTCATTTCCGCAGATTTCGTTATGTTTTCACATAATGCATTTGTTTGCCACTTTACAAAAACTGAAGCGAGCCTTGTTTAACGACTTTCAGCTACTGTTTTTTAGCTGTCCAAGATGGGTCGTGTCGTGCACAACGATGCAACCTTCTGTTTTTATGTGCTTCATTTGTATTTTAAATAAGAAGTGCAACGGAACACCGCATGTTATGAGCTAATGCTTTCACAAAGGTCTTCATACTCTTGTCTTTTAAAACTATGTACTAGGGTTGTCCAGAAATGCAATGCAATTGCAGTGCATGCATTAATCCAACCTTTTACAAGGCGGAAACCGATGTATTGACTATTTCATCCCGAAGGGTGTGGATCGCTCAACCAACGATTCAGAGACTGTACCAATGGTGTGAAAGATTCAACTGCGTTTCGTCTCTGGGCAATTTTGCTACTATCTGTCCTGAATGTTGCTTTTCATCTCCTGTGCTCTCTGGCCAGGTGATATCACTGGAAATTTGCTCACACACATTCATACACGTTTTATGTAAATAAGATGATAAGAAAATCATTATTCTTGCTTACTTTTCACTCTGGTGTGTGACCAAAGTGCAAGGCGCTCTATTTTTTTTTTTTCTCAGATGTCGCGTGCTCTCAATACATGGCCATAAAACTAAAAAAGAGCGAAAAAAAAAAGTCAGATTTCTATACCTCTGAGATTTTATTTTTTACTGTATCCCACTTGTGTAGCATAGCAACGAGTCTTGAAGATGTGACAACAGTTGCCCCATTTTATGTATCCAGCATTGTGTAACAATAAACATTATCCTATTTCTTTGTACATCGTTGGCGCAGTTTATTCGTCGTCTTCAATGCATCAGAGGTGGCTATGGGTGGACGTCTATCGGTGTGAGGTGTCCTGAAAAATTCGCTGTACACTTCAGAAGAGCTTATTGCTACAGGCAGACGTTGATATCACAAACTTTAATATAACAAATTTCTGTATAGTATAACAAGGTATTTCAATTATCTTCTTGTCTATAGAACACCTATATTGGACCTCAATGTAATGAAAAGTGGTAATCTGTGATTTCAGTATAACGGTATGTTAGTGCTGCCGTGAAGGAAGATCAAGGTAATAAACTAAAGCTAGTGCTGGGTTTAATGGTCATATGGTTGAGTTTCATGTTTTTACGAGTGCTTATTCTATATTACCATGTTGGTTTGTACCTGTATCTCATTTCTGTTCCCAAGTAAGGTTTAGATGCTGTAAAAGGACTTCTTTACTGGAGTACCATCTAGTTGTGGTCGCCAAATCGGATATTCAAGATGTTCGACTTTTTTTTTTTCGTCACTGAAGTTATTTTAGCACCTTATAACTCAAATATTCTTTGGTACTTCCCATGCAAGAGAAGTCTTTGGGGACTACACTTTGCTTAATTGTCTGTAGTTTTAGTTTAGCAATCATTCAATATAATGAAATAGTTGATTTCACAGACTGCCTCTCGTATCAAGATTTTGCTATTACAATGTTCTGAAACGAGCCACCATAGAATACTTTGTCAAATATGAAAGTGATTGATATTGATATACATTATCGTGAGCAGTAGCCGTGAAGCTAACTTGTCCGCCGAAATTCGAGCTAAAAAAAATGTGTTCACATGATTAAGTCGACCCATTTTATCAAAAAATTCCATAGTTTGGGGGGGGGGTCGACACAAAACTAGTGCCACCAGTTACGGCGTGAGGAATGCTCTAGCATAGTAACGACATTAGGTTTACGAATTTAGACTCTACATCTAACATAAACCGTATCTTTTCACGTGTCACCTCAAGCTTCAGCAATGATTCCATGAAAAAAAAAAGAATAATTTTCGTATGTTGCCGCAAAGCTAGCTTCTCTGCCTAGCTGTAAAGAACTACCGTGAAGCCATCTTTGCGCACCGGAATTCGCGTTCTTCGTTTGACTTTATAAAACACGTTTCGGACCTAGTTGGTGACGCTTCCTTGCGTCTAATATGACAGAGCTATTTTTCAGGTGGACGGGAGAGAGAAGTACGTTACAGGATGGGCGCTTACTCGAAGTATCAAGTCAACACCCGCCTTTTATCTCTCCTGTCCTGTCGACAGTGGCAAGCAGCCCGCGTCTTCGCTTCGCAAATAACGCGGAAAACAAGAATGGCGAGCAACGAGGAACTACTTCAATGCCAGCAGGGTATGGACATCAATGTTCATTAAAAGCGATGATGGGTGAGTATGTGCGTAGCGTTTCATAAAATTTAGGAAACTCTATGAGTATGTGTGGTCAGTATAGCGACTGCGCAAATAAATTTATTTCACGAAATGCGCTCGCGTAGATTTATTTCTTTATATTGACTGATTTAGGCGTTTATAATTAATGGAAAGCATTTATATTTGTTCTAGTGCACGAAGGAAGGAAAAACCGGAAGTGTTTCGGTTCCCCCGGTGGCACGAACCATTTCGAGGCAAAACGGTTCGGTTCACCCAATAGCCGCTTAAAACCGACTTGACTTGGCTTAAAGCGTATGAATAGATGGCGTTAGAATCGGTGTGTTAAAAAACACTTTTCAGGCGATTCGGGCGTTCTTATTCTGTGGTTCAGGTAGAGTTCCTCACTAGCTTGTGACACACAGTCTGTGGCGGGTTCATCCATAGAGGAGGCTATGGTTCATCGTATTCTAGTCGTGATGTTTTTTTCTCCGATGTTGGTGTTGGATTGGACTGTAATCTGTTTGAAATGGCGAGAACCGCCTCTGCCCGTGGGGTCGTGGTCGCTTTCTGTTGTTAGAAAGTGATTCATACGCAAGTCGCTGCCGCTTTTCTTAATTCCTGTGATGTCGCCGTGCTTATCGAGTAGTTAACGTCATTCGCCCGAAGCACAGAATTAACACCTACCAGCCCGAAGTGTTTGCCACCAAATCTACAAGCAATGACAACGAGCATAAAATAAAGGCCTTTGGAACGCGATTTGTGAATATTGGTCTGATGCATGTACTACGCGGATGTATGGTAGGTGCATGCGTGTTGCTTGAGGACCGATCAAACAGCTGGTGTCACATGGGAGGAAGTATATACTGTGCCAACGCTTCCATTGAAGCTTGTTCTCGCGTAAGTGCGCGAGATAGATACGGCATGCACAAGTTGGAATTAGAGAACGTTCTTGTTCGAGTGGCTTTATTAAGCAGTCGCAAATGATGGCAATTTGTTTGCTTAGCAGTGTGTGTTTAGAATGGGGTAACCACAGTGAAGGTAGTTGTGTGTGGGTGAGGAAATTAGTTTCCGGAACAGTGCAGGCAAACGTAGGTGTCTATGTGCTTTTCCAGGATTACTTGAAACTTGCCTACTTCCTAGTACTTGTAGAACTCGCTTTAGATTTTGGCTGGGACCATCGCCGCTTTTGCACATTTGGTAAGTGTTCTTTTTAAAATCAAATAAAGTAGCTAGTGGTAAACACAGAACATGCTTTCCCTGGTACGTCCTGAAAGTATAGCGCAGTATAGCGTCGTGTTATCGCTGAGCGCCAGTCGCAAATCTAAAATGTAGCACTTCGTGTTCAAAATGATAGTCCGAAGACGTCATGGCAGCCATTTTCTATATGCCCTATTTTTTGTTGCATTTAGTTCATACACCCACCAGCAGGGCTCCCAACGTCGCGACCAGCATGGCGCCTCACATGCGTTAATAGACGTTCCGTCCTTTAATTCGGGTTTAAACGAGAGTTGCATTATCCTTCCCGCCACATCTATTGCGAAGGAAATTCAGTTAATAATCCTTGTTCACTGGGTTTGCAGTTCACCAATTAACCATGGCCAGTACGAGCGGCACGAAGCCGCAGAAAATCCCGAAAGTTGCGAAGGTAAGCATCGGGATGCGCTTAATTCTGTTTCGCAGCGATCTCTCTTGTTTCTGACAGCGTTCTCATCTCTGACATCGATATATGATGCATGTCGCTATATTACTTGTTGCATTTTCTCCGCGGTTCGTTCGCTAACGCTTTTCAACGCGATGCTTTCCACAGGTCAAAAACAAAACGCCGGCCGAGATTCAAATCACGGCCGAGCAACTTCTACGGGAGGCCAAGGAAAGAGACCTGGAGATCTTGCCGCCGGTAAATAACTTGCGCACCAAATGTCGTTCCTTGCGGTTTTGACTTGTGTGCATCAATAGAGCTAACGGTGAGCTTTTTTTCTTTCCTCGTGACTACCCAGCCTCCAAAGCAAAAGATCTCCGATCCCGAAGAGTTAGCGGAATACCAACTGAGGAAACGAAAGGTGAGGCCTTTTATCAAATTAATCTTTCAACTCCCTTTCTGGTGATTTGCGTTTTAATCGACGCCCGTGCGCTCTCCGTGGTTGCTCCTAGGGCTTCGAGGACAACATCCGCAAAAACCGATCTGTCATCAGCAACTGGATCAAGTATGCACAGTGGGAGGAGAGTCAAAAGGAGATACAGAGGTAAGCGAACGGAACTCGCCTCCACGGACGGGTTCATCAAGGTTGAAGCCTGATTGATTGATTGATATGTGGGGTTTAACGTCCCAAAACCACTATATGATTATGAGAGACGCCGTAGTGGAGGGCTCCGGAAATTTAGACCACCTGGGGTTCTTTAACGTGCACCCAAATCTGAGCACACGGGCCTACAACATTTCCGCCTCCATCGGAAATGCAGCCGCCACAGCGGGGATTCGAACCCGCGCCCTGCGGGTCAGCAGCCGAGTACCTTAGCCACTAGACCACCGCGGCGGGGCAAGGTTGAAACCTGTGCTAGCTAACACAGTTGCATGTAAGATTGAAGCAGTTCAAACAACGGAGATGAAGCTCGACAGACATAAGCGCTTACCCGCAACCGGAATGTTTATTGGAATAAAACATAGAAAGAAAGTGAACTCAAGCCATCAACGCGGTGGCTGCAACATTGTTGTCTCGCCGACATGCGAAAGAGAGAGAATTAGGAAAAGGAGAAAAATCATTGAGTACACAAGCATAACACCTTGTGACAGTGCAGGAAAGCGCATAACAATGACATCTAATCATCAGACATGTTCTTTACGGTGCTTTAATCTAAAATGGAACACGTTGATCTTTTCGTCAATGTCACCCAGCAAAGTTCAGTAAACAACACAAAGTGTAATTGACCACTGTTGTGGTTTATCGTTAACTTGTACTTCTTGCCTGATTGATTAGCCTTTAGAGTTTGATGAGTTTATGCAACCCGATGTGCTAGCTTTGACTGAGTAGGCTGTTGTGATACCACTGAGCAGCTGTCATATGAAATTAATGTATTGATTGGGTTGTAACGGATTACTGTAGTCAATACTACACTCTATGTTGCTACCACAGTGCTCCTTCTTTCAGCTTTTAGTCAAGTTTTCATGTGTCATGAATGAGCCATCACGGTCGCCACTGCAAAGTGCATTTAATCTATCAAAAGTTATTTTTCAGCCTGTCATACAATGTATGTAGATAGACATTTAAATTCTAACATTATGGGTACTGATTGCGTTACTGAAATTCTGTGCATCATTAATGTCTTTATTATTTTTTTTTGCCCTTTTTTTTTCCCCAGGGCTCGTTCCGTCTACGAGCGTGCATTGGATGTCGACCATCGTAATGTTACCCTCTGGCTGAAGTATGCAGAGATGGAAATGAAGTGAGTGAAATGAAACGTTGCATTTGTATTGTTTCCCTTGTTACAATTAGGACATGTCTTCTATTAAGCTGCTTTACTGTGCATTTCAGAATTTGCAAGCATGTGTAGTGACTGGAAAGGCATTGTACTTGGTTTTATCATTTCATCACCACTTGGGCACTATAAAATGTCTCCTTTAATATTTAGTATTTCTACAGAAAAGGAGACTAAAAAGATGTGGATTTAGGGAGTAGTCTTGGAATCAGCAATAATGACAGACTTTAATTCAGTCGTCGCCTACATTATCTGTACATTGGCTATGGTAAGGCCACGCCTTAACATTTTATACATTAATTTTTCGCACAATACGAGGAGTTGATAGTTGTCAAGACACGAGGAGGTGGTAGGCCTCCTAATATGGTCCTGCTGTATTTAACAGTGTGACCGTGCTCGGCGAAGCAAATTGAAAATTATCTCACTACTCTCATTCACCTGGAAGTGTAACTCAGTAACGCTTTCCGATGCAGCTAGATGATAAGTTCAATCGACTGATCAGATCACTACAATCATGCCGCTCAGAAGAATACCCCGCCATGCAGGAACCGCCAGGTGAACCACGCCCGCAACATTTGGGACCGCTCCGTGTCGATCCTGCCGCGAGTGAAGCAGCTGTGGTACAAGTACACCTACATGGAGGAGATGCTGGGAAACATTGCTGGTGCACGCCAGGTGTTCGAGCGCTGGATGGAATGGGAGCCCCATGAGCAAGCCTGGCAGACTTACATCAACTTCGAGCTGCGTTACAAGGAACTCGACAGGGCCCGGCAGATCTACGAACGATATATCCTTTTATTCTACATGGATGTGTTGGTGGGCTAGTTGATACATGTCCTGATAGAGACTAAGCATGTGCACTTTATGTCTGAGCCTATGTAAGTCATTTACTTGCCTTCCCTTATCTTTGTTTCTTTGCATGCGTCATACTTAGCGTATAACCTTTTGACACCTGTTAACTTTCCATACAGTGTGTGCTATTGAGACAGGCTGGCTTGTGACTCTTTTTAACAAGAATAGATTGCAGGTGAAACGGAAGAGGCGAAACAGAACAAAGAAAAAATGACCGCAAATGATACCTGGACATTTTTTTGACCCTATAAGCATTGTCCTTTTGTTTCCCAACTGGATGAGTGTTGCCCCGTTTGCTTTTTTTTTTTTTTTTTCAAGATTTACAACTAACCTGTAATTTGCTGTTGATTATTAATATTTTGGTTGCCCATAGAAATCTGTTCTCTTTGATGCGCACTTCCTGGGTACAATTGGCACAAGTATAGTCTGCTTTATGTGTTACACCTTGAGGCCTAATTTTCTCTCCCTGTCCACCACCAGCAATTTACTTTTGGTAGTTAAAGTCGGCGTAAACACTGCACCCTAGCCTCTACTGGGCTATTTTCACAGGGAAAGTGAATAAAGCAAATTTATCATTCGTGTAGTTTGATAACTATTGAGCAATAGGCATAGCAAGTTTTTGAATCCATGTTTCTCCCATGGTAAAAGCAGGTACACTGTATGGACAGTGTAGGGACACTGTATTTACATGTAAAACAAAGTATTGTGCAGTATGTCTATATGAATGAAACATAGAAATGATGTTCGGCAACTATATTTTTTGTATAGCATATTCAAGAACTTTTCAATTCAGCCAATGTCCTGGAGATAGGCATTTTAAGTAGGTAGTTTAGAGCTCAATGCCAGCTTGAAGAAGAAGAGAGTGATCTTTATGAGCATCTCGGTTTTCGTGGTATCTGGTTAATAGCATTGATTTGACGTCAATCAAATGCTATGTTATCTTTACAAGGCGGGCATTCCTCAGTATATGCTGGTATGTTTCTATAGTAGCATAGTTTCATGGTATGGATGGTGTCTGTAGTATGGCTCTCTTTGGCAGCATGCAACAATGTGCAAGACATGGGATCCTTAACGTGTCGTGCACTTGTGATGGTTCATCCCGATGTTCAACATTGGATCAAGTATGCCAAGTTTGAAGAGCACAACGGCTACATCTCCAACGCGCGACGCATCTACGAGCGGGCTGTGGAGTTTTTCGGCGAGGACTACATGGACGAACGGCTGTTTGTCGCTTTTGCCAAGTTCGAGGAGAACCAGCGGGAGGTAAAAATGGAAAAACGACGTCTCTCTTGGTATGTTGCAAGTGCTGCGATGGTGTGTGTGATAGAAAGACGTGTAATGAAGGTGCAGCCTTGCTTCATCAAGCACGACTTAGCAACACATCGACAAGGTTCATCCTAAGTTGAGGTTGATGCAGTCAGCCATGGAGAGGGTAATGATAGTGAGGGATAGGGAGAGGAAGACAGCACAGTTAGTCGAGGAACAAATGGGTGTCAAAAGACATCTTACTCGAAAGCAAGAAGAAAGGATGGGCATGGGCCGAGCATCTGTTGAGAAGGCATGATAACTGCTGGTCATTAAGAGTTACAGACTGAGTCCCAAGAGAAGTCAAGCATGCCACGGTGAGGCGGAAAACTAGGTGGGCAGTTGAGATTAAGAGTTTGCGGGGATAGCATGGCCCCCCCCCAAGTGGAGGACTGTGTTGATTTTAGAAACATGGGAGAGCCATTTGTCCTCTCATGGGCATACATTTAGGAAGCAGTATGTGTGTGTGTTTTCCAAATGCTGCTAGTAACTGCGTCACTGAGATGCTGATGTTTGGCCCAATTTAGTGCTTTCCGAACCGCCACTGCAGCGGACTGGATGAACACCAGTCAACGGCAGTTAACTTCACAGCTGGTCGGCAGCACGCTGGGCATGCCATCTGCAAAAACGTAGTTTGACTTTGCTGCTTAGCCGTGGTTGCTAATCAGGCACGACGTACCTACAAGCAGCACTGCTACCCAAAGGCAGCATATACATTGACTCTAAGGCTTACGACAACAACAGCAGCCTAGACTGAAGCCATGCCAGTGTGTGCTTATGAGTGTTTTGGAAGCTTAGCAACTGCATTCACAACATCCTTTTTCTCCACTGTATAAGTAAGGTCACTTCACTTCTGTCGCATGCATCGCCCGGTGCCACCCAACAGCATGACCGCGTGCGGGTGATCTACAAGTACGCATTAGAGCACATCCCCAAGGAGAAAGCGCAGGACCTGTTCAAGAACTACACCATCCACGAGAAGAAGTACGGTGATCGCGCTGGCATTGAAGATGTCATCGTCAGCAAGCGCAAGTACCAATATGAAGAGGTATGTGAGTCTCTCAAAGAGCACATTGGTGATGTTTCGTATTGGTTTGAAACTCTGCTAGGCTGAAAGCAGCTGTAGTCACTGCGGTTCACTTTCATTTGAAATTAGTTTCACTTAATGAATGCAGGTTTCATCGGGGCGATAAAGCTTTCGATAACTTCTAATGCTTCTGCCAATAATCCTGTCCCCTTCAAATTGGTGTGCAAGTTTACTTTTATAGTCACCAAAGCATACTTCATGCTCTGAGGAACAGCTTCAAAGTGTGTGCAGTTTCAGTTTCCAAATAATGAATTTGGAAGAGGATAAGTGTCTTCATTTCAAAAGTGCCAAGAAGCTGGACAATCTCACAAATAAATTGCTCCATGTGCAGGGCTAGCATGTCTTCGTCCGCATGTGTTACGAGCCTTGTTATGCTGTCACTGGAAGGTCATTTTTTTCCCCAGTAAATGGGCTGCTCAATTCACTGCACCAGCTGCAGCTTTCCCACTTTAGGCGGGGAATGTTCGGGGGCTATCGGCTTCATTAATGGTTAGGCATTCTCTTTAATAATTGTGTGTGCTCTGTGTGTCTTTTAATTTTGCCTGTACACACATCAATTGTGTAATGGGCAACCAGTAGATGTTCTACACGAGCTTGATGCTTGTTATCATTAGTTACTTAATGCGTAGTAGTTGTTTACATTTATTTTGTTTCAACAGGGCTAGACATATTTTTCTTGCGATTGCTAAAGCCCTCTTATACATTGAACAATGTTTGATGCAGCAAGTGAAGGAGAATCCGCTCAACTACGATGCCTGGTTCGACTACCTCCGGCTCATGGAGAGTGAGGGCAATGTGGACTCAACGCGCGAGACTTACGAGCGGGCCATTGCCAACGTGCCACCTTCACGGCTCAAGCGCTTCTGGCGCCGCTACATCTACCTCTGGATCAACTACGCACTCTTATGAGGAGCTCGAAGTGGGCGACGCCGAGCGCACGCGCGAGGTCTATCGGGCCTGCCTTCGCCTGCTGCCCCACAAGGCATTCACCTTTGCCAAGGTGTGGCTCCTGGCAGCTCACTTTGAGGTGCGCCAGAAGGACCTGCCTGCAGCCCGCAAGTTGCTGGTGAGTTCGCATCATCCACGTCACCAACATCAGCTTAGTAGAAAATATAGGCAGTCTGCACTAGCAGTGCAAGGCTGGACTAACAGCAGAGCTTGTGGCCAATCTAGACTGTCAGGAAAGGTCTTATGAGCATGGTCCTAATTAACATGGTGCTATTTAGAATAGTCGAGATGAGTAATGTCCTGATAAACAATGCCTTAGCAAGATATGAATTAGTATAGTCTTAATTAACATGATTATAATTAGCAAAACCCTCTGTTCCTGTCTGTTTTTTCTCTTTCTCTCCCTTTTTTTTCTTTTAGTGCAACCTGCACTTGCGTAATACTTCAAGTTGTATGACCATGCCTTTGAGAGCGGCATCAACTCTTTCACAGCTAAAAGGAAATTAAAAAACTTGCTAAAATGATCAAAAATTTTTTTTCACTTGCTTTGTAAGCCTTCTTTTTCTTGATGGAACAGTGCCATTATCTCAAGTAATATTTATTTATTTTTATAACTTTGTACAAAGATACTGCAAGTGCAGCACCAGAGGCAGCAATGCAATGAAAGACCAGATGAGTAGGAGATTGAAAAAACGTGGACAAGCAGGACCAGTTAGCATAGAAAAAAAACGACAGCATATACAGTCCTCACTAAAGGCAAGTATAGTCATAATCG